GCCGCCGCCGCCGCCGCCGCCGCCGGCCACCGCGCTGGGCCGGCTCCTCCTTTTGTTTGTCCCTCACTGCACCACTCAGCCTCCTCCGCCCCGGAAGTGACGTCAGCGGGCGCGAACGCGGCGCCCAGGGCGTCGCCATGTTTGTAAAGGGAGCTCTTGGCGGCCTCTCTGGACTCTCTCCAGTGCGCCTGCGCATGATCTCTTTGGGCGGGAAGTAGCGGACCCGGGGCTCCGCCCTCTTAAAGGGGTAGAAACGGCTGCAGCCTTAAGCGAGACCGCTAAAGGACTTCGGTGAAGTAACCGAGAGGCAGGTGAGTAGAACCGATACCGAACGCGAGTGACAAGAGGTAGGGTGCCAGTTCCGGGAGATTGTTAGAGGGTTCCGATCTTCATTGTTCCGGGGTACTTGATGCATGAGTGTCGCTGGTGTGCGGAGTGGCTGTCACCAAAGAGGGAAGTGCTTGTGGGAATGGCTGGCGCGCTGCCACTGACCCGCGCTCGGACCCGGGGAGCAGCCAGCGTGGTCCTCTCTGCACCACTCACATCTGCTTCCCAAGATCGTGCTCCTGGAGAAGATGCAGCCCAAGGAACAGCGAATTCGGGGCACAGGTGGGGCTGGAGTCAAGTCTCTGGACGCCAGCTCTGCATCTCCATGGAGCCTCCTGGGTCCCCGCACTTCTTACACTGACAAAAGTAATGGCAATCAGGTAAAGAAAAAAAAAATCCATGCATTGGAAAACTGTGCAGCCATTAAAACAAAAAAAATGTTCAACGTGCACTAAGACGGAGGACTTCCGAGATACCTTAGGTGGAAAAAGGAAGGCTCAAAAAGAACAGCCTTGCGACGCTACTGTTCCTGGGCAGAGTATGTGGGAGTATTTGGTGCGTGGCACCTTTCGGGAGCATTTCTACATAAATTTGGAGGGAAAAATCATTTCATAGTTAAAGTATGACTATAGCTGTCCAAGGCCCAGTGTTGCCTTGCCTGAGAGCTGGCTATGGCATGCGGAAACATAACTCCATTTTGCGTCTGGTCGGTCACAGCTGAGGCCTCAATGGTCTGTGATGCTGTGATGCTCAATGGCAAGATAACACCAGCTGAAGGTATCCTGGTTCCTTGAGAACCCAGTAGTAATACAGAAGAGAAAGGTCTCACCTGGGGAGGGTGGAGTCCCTTATCAGCCCAGCTCATCCCACCTACTGAGGTGGGAATGCTCTTCTCTCTGCCTTCATCAGCATGAGAAGTCACCCTGTACTCCCTCCAATTATTGTGTGTACCCAATAAACAGCGACTAGCTCCCAGAGTCTTTGTCTTTGCCCACTCTGAGGCACTGACCTCCCGGCCCCCATATACTTTGAAATTAGAGAAGACTGTATTGTCTTTTTTTCCTTTATCCCTTGAAGTCCCCCTTTCTAGGCAGGTGGAGGAAATCGGCCTCTGATAGCACCAGCTGTCGGGTAAGATGCACAAACAGAAGTCAACTGGTTGCCTCCGATAGTGACCAGGCATCCTGGTGGCATGCCACTGTGCATGTGGTTGTATCTGCCAGTGTGTGCACCACCACCAGCTGTCTGGTGAGAGGCACAAGTTGCTAACTGGCTGAAGAGAGCACTGCCCTATCGTGGATGGCACACAGAACAAGTGGAACAGACGTGACACAAAGTGGGAAGGACATGAAGAAGCTAATGGATAGGGGCTGAGGATTTAGCTCAGTGGTTTCACCACCTGCTGCACAAGCACAAGGACCCGAGTTCAATCCCCGATACCAAAAAAAAAAAAAGAAGCTAATGGTGAGGCCAGAGCCATGATAAAGCCCCAGACTCTCTGCCCCTCTGCAGCCTTGAAACTGCATCTGGCACCCCTCCCTGGGGTTCCACGTGTACTCACCTGTAAAATGACCAACCACAACCACAATAGCAGACACAAAGCACCTCTTTCTGTGTCACGGTCCTTTTGTGTAGATCAGTCCCATTTTATAAAAGGGTAAGTGAAGCAGGTAGACTGAGGTAAAGGAAGTTGCCCAAAGGGGTTTCCATAAGCCTTACCCCCCTCATCCCCAGGGGAGGGTGCTGGGCACTTCAGTCTCTCCCTCAGCTTCCTGGGACCATCAGCACTCAGGCTTTGGGACCGACTGTGTGCTGGATGATCTGCCAGAGGCTGAGGGCCCGGTGAAGAACAGGACTCACAGCTCCCATCCTGGAAGTCAAGCAAAGGCAGCAAATGAGCCAGCAGTTGGCCTCTGTGTTGAAAGCCTGAGGGGCACAGAGGAGGGGACACAGGCCTGGCAGGGGCAGAGTCAGGGAAAGGGTCTCTCAGGAGGTCATTTAATCTGTGAATGAAAAGTACTAGAATGCCCAGAAAGCTCGATGATGGGGCTGGAGGCTGAAGAGGGGCAGGCTGGTTAGCTCATCCTCAGCCCAGCCTGAGGGTTGCTAAGGAGCCTGGGAAACTGACATAATTAGAGACTGCAGCTAGAGACCTGCAGTGTTTTCTCCAGGAGCCGCCACCATGGCCGCCCCTTCGCTAACCTCCAAAGGCCTGGCTCTGGATTTTACCATCCAGGTGGGGCGACAGAGGCTCACAGGATGAACTAAGCATGCACTCTACCACTTAGGGACAGCCCCATCCCAACTTTGCTCCTGTTTTTATGAGTTTCCCATTCATTATTTTTTGCTCACTTTGTTTTTCCTTATTGAGATGTTGGTCTTTTATTATAGATTTATAAGATTTCTTTGTGTTTTATGGCTCACACTGTATTAAAATGGGCCAGTCAACTGTCCCTTTCATTAGGTCAAGCACTGCTTTAGAGAAAAGGTCCTATTTACCCTTATATACTTGGTAGCTAGCAGAGAGAGTGACACACAATTGGAGTCCAGTAAAATATTTGCTGAAGAAATAAAAAGGTGTGTACCTACTGTGTGGCAGGTAGCAGGTTTGTTTTGGGGGTTGTTTTTGTTTTTGTTTTGAGATGAGGTCTTGCTATGTAGTTCAGGCTGACCTTGAATTCACCATATAGTCCAGGCTGCCCTCGAACTGAGGGTGATCCTTCTGCTCAGCTTCCCAAGTGCTAGGATTACAGGCCTGTGTCACCACGCCCAGCGGCAGGCTTTCACCAGGTATTGCAAATAAAAAGATGAACATGATTGAGTCTCTAACAGATTCCATCTGGGGGGAGAGATGAACATGCATACTGTCATTGAAAAATGTTTATTGAAAACCAAACAAAAGCTGGGCATAGTGGCATATGCGTGTAAATTTTTTTTTTTTTTGGTACTGGGGATCAAACTCACGTATATGCCTGTAATTCTAACATTCAGATGGCTGAGGCAGGAGGATCACTGTGAATATTGAGAATTTTTTTTTTGGTATTGGGGATCGAACTCAGGACTTTGCACTTTTGAGGCAGGTATGGTACCATTGAGCTAAATCCTCAGCCAGGATCATTGTGAGTTGGAGGCCAGCCTGGACCACATAGTGAGTTCAAGGCCAGCTTGAACTATATAGCAAGACCCTGTCTCAAACCACCCTCCTAAAAAAAAAAAAAGAAAGAAAACCAACAAAAATGGCTTATTGAGCAACTTTTAAAGTTTTTATGGAACAGCTAGTCTGTGCCAGTAACATAATGCCTATCAGAGAGCTAGCCTTCGAGGATAAAAACAATGCCAGGACTGTTGGGCATATACCTAGATATGAAACCGCTAGGTCATATATTTTAAAAATGATTCTTTTCCCACCAAAATGTCTTGGCCCCCTTCTCAGATAGCATTTGACCATGAATGTGAGTTTCTTTCTGGACTGTCAACTCTATTCCATTGATTTATATATCTGTCCTGAAGCCAGTCCTATCCTTTCCAGGTTTCAATAGCTTATATTAAAATTTGACATTGTGCAGTATGATTCCCCTAATTTTTCTTCTTTTTCAGGAATTTCTGTGTGTGTGTGTGTATGTGTGTGTGTGTGTGTGTCCTTGCAATTGAAGCCAGAGCTTGGATCATACCAGGCAAGCAGTCCTTCACTGAGCAGCACCACCAACGCTTTTTTATTATTTATTTATTTATTGTTTTGGTACTGGGGATCGAACCCAGGCCCTTGCGCTTGTGTAGCAGGCAGCAAAACCACTGAGCTGAATCCCCAGCCCTGCTTTTTTAGAGGTTTTTTGGGGTTTTTTTTTTTTGGTACCGGGGATCGAACTCAGGACCTTGTGCTTGCAAGACAGGCAACAGAACCACTGAGCTAAATCCCCGGTCCTGCTTTTTTAGTTTTTGAGACAGAGTCTCATTAAGTTACCTGGACTGGCCTTGAATTTGTGATCCTTCAGCTTAGCTTCCTGGGTACCTGGAGTTACAGGTGTGTGTCACCACCTATTGTCTGTTCTTTTTTTTTTTGGTACGGGGATCGAACTCAGGACCTTGCACCTGCAAGGCAGGTGGCAGAACCACTGAGCTAAATCCCCAGCCCTGTCTGTTAATTCCCTTTAAATGATTTCACCCCGGCATTTATTTCCATACATTTAAGTTGTTGGAGAATGAGTCACTTGTTCTGCAGCATTTCCATCAGCTTGAATTTGTTGACTGCATCTCCATGGTATCATTTCACCTGTTTTTCTGTCCCTGGTATTTTAGTACTGCAATGGCAGGATCTGCTTTGGGTTCACTTTTACAGCAGAAAAAGGGCGGGTGGTGTGTGTGTTTACAGAGTGGGAATATGATGTTGGGTCAGTGCTTCTGTGATGTTAGCAGCTGTCAGGGATCCATCCTCACTGTGTCCTTATTTCCTAAGCGGTGATTTGCATCACTTTATCCGTGCAACACACATATGCACATGTGAAAACTGAGTGGGATGATCATTCAACATGCCTCGTACACGGTGGCCAAGTTGCTGTCATTGTTAGAACTTTGTGTGAGGGACCCAAATCCTGATTGCAGAGCCATTCTCTGGCCTGGGTTCTCATCTCATCTCCTCTGCCCCTGGAAGAGGAGTCAGCCATGCTGTGGACCTGGGAGCCCTGTGCAGAATGCAGCACCCATCACGGTGCACCTAGGACTCCTCCTGGGAAGGAAGGCTGGAGCCTCACTCACTTCATGCTGGCACCACACGGTAAGTGCCCTACCTCAGCCCTGGGTGCCCAAGGTCACCCGGCCCAGGCAGGCTGACAGTTTGGTGGCTGCATGCCAAGATAGTTCCTGTGCACCTGAGGGAGCATGGGAAGTGGGCTGGAAGGGGTTCAGGGGAGGAGTGCAGTGGGCTGGGGATGAGGACCCCCGAGGCCCTCCTAGGCCTGAGTGTCCCCTCACCTGGAACGTGAACTTGGATACCTAACTCTCCCCATGTGCTCTTTTTTTTCGTCATCTCTAAGGCGCAAGCAGGTAATTCTGAGAATTAAATGGGAGGCCATAGGAAGACCTCTGTAAGTCAACACTGCTACTGTCCCCGGGGCTGCTGTCCTCCCCACCTGGAAGACTCTCTGACTTTCATTTGCTCTGTCCCCAGCTCACCATGGCCAAATGGCTGCAGGCCCACAGACTGGAGGGGACAGTGGGTGGTGGGCTGGGGGATCATGGTGTCCCTTCCAGCCTGGGTTGCCCATCCCTGGTTGGCAGTGACTCAGTGGTGCCCAGGAGAGGTTGTGACAGCCACAGCCCAGGCAAGGGAAGAAACAAGGTAGGAGGCTTGGCTTCACCCTGCTTGGCTGTGACACGGGGACAGGAGACACACCTCCTCTGAGCCTGAGCTCCAGCTCAGAATGGAGATAGAGCTCCCTGGAGGGCTGGGGAAGAGGAGGGAGATGCTGTGGGACAGAGTAGCCATTGCCCAGGCCCCTGACTAAGGGCTTCCCGGGAGTCACACGGACGCTGTCCATCTCTGTGTGGCACGTGCCCATTGATTCAACCAACTGCAGATCAAAAACAAGTTTTTTAAGGGCTGGGGATTTAGTTCAGTGGTTCCAGTGCCTGCCTCACAAGTGCAAGGTCCCAAGTTTGGTCCCCAGTACCAAAAAAACAAAAACCAAACCATGTTTTAAAAAAACATTCCTCTATCCTGAACATGTGCAGCTTTTTCTTGTCATTAACCCTTTAACAGTAGTGTAACAACTATGTGTATAACACATAGCATTAGGTATTGTCAGTAAGCAAGATACCAATTCAAGTGAACAGGAAGATGTGGGTACCTGTGCAAATGCTACACGCTTTTTATATAAGGGACTTGAGCATCCATACATTTTTGTATCCTTGGGGCTCTAGGACACATCTCTCATAGATACTGGGGTACTTTATTTCACTCTAGAGGCTGGGAAAATAAGGTAAGATAGTAAGACACAGGCAGCACTTTGCCTGAGCTTAACATTTCTTTTTTACACTTGTGAATACAAAGAGTCTGTGCCCAGTGATACCAGTGGAGAGATGTGTAAGTAAGATTTACACTTCCTCCTCCTTCTCCCCACAGCTGTGGCCAGGTGGACTTTACACCCAAATTGTTTGTAGTTTTACAAAAATGAGACCATCTTTCCTTTCAAAGATTCCCCCCATGCACTAGATTTTGTGTTTCACAAAGATCTTTTGTCTCCACTGCCATCTCCTTGGATGCCCCATGGTGCTGGGAAGAGGGAGCCCAGAGGCCCCGAAGTGTCTACTGCCCTCTAGGTTGGGCCCCGGGGCCCCTGACCGTGTCCTCTTGTGAGTGCCCGTCTGCAGAGAAGGTGAAGCCACGCTGTGCAGGTTCAGGAGAGACAAGCTCAGCATCTCCGCCCATGCACTCCCAGTGCAGAACATGTCTGCGACCAGACACAAGGGACCCCACACCCGGCACTGCTGCACATGACCGCAGCACACCAGTGGGTGTCTTGCTTGGGTTCGATTAATTTGCTACAGCAGCTGACAGAACTCAAGGAAGCATTCCTACCGACAATAAAGGACCTTACAGAGAAAGGAATGAGCACTCAGTGGCAGAGCCTCTGTGTTCAGCAGTCTAGAAGCCCTTAGAACATAGTCCTGTGGATTGGTTTGGATTGGTTTGTTTTTTTGAGACAGGGTCTCTCTGTAGCCCAGGCTGGCCTCAAACTCATGGTAATCTTCCTGCCTCAGCCTCCTAAGTACTGGGATTACAGGCATTCACCACCATGCCTGGCTTTTGGGGTTTTAGGAAATTATATTGTGTATGTATGAGGTGTGATCAAAATATACAGTGTTTAAAATTTTTAAATGCATTACAATAAAAGACACATTGCCATTTATCTCCCTTAAAATACTCCTCCTCACTTGAAACACATTTATCCCATCATTCTTGCCACTTTCTGAAGCCGTTCTGGAGTCCTCTTTCATGGGAGTCTTTTGTGTTGTGATAAGAAACAGTGAATGCTGCTGCCGAGTGCCATCCAACAGAAAGGCAGCTTGTAAAGACATGACACTGCATCTTCATCCACCTTACTCACCAGATCTGGCAAAATGTGACTTCTGGCTCTTCCCCAAAGTCAAAGTGACCATGAAAGGTAAATGTTTATAATCAATTCAGGACACCAAGGCAGCTACCAAACAGCTAAAGACATTCATGAAAGATGACTTTCAGAACTGCTTCAGGAAATGGCAAGTACTATGGGATAAGTGAGTTTGGAGTGAGGGGGAGTACTTTGACAGGGTTCATGACAACCTTTTTGTTTTTTGAGACAGGGTCCTGCTACGTAGTCTAGTCTGGCCTTGAACTCGTGGTGATCTCCTGCCTCAGCCTCCAGAGTGCTGGTATTACAGGTGTGCCCTCCATGCCTGGCTTCAACTCAACCTTCATTATCTCGCCCCACCCTGGCTAGGAAGGAAAGTTGCAAACCTAAATCACATGGTTGATTTCCCTGGCAACCAGCACCCCCCACCCTGACCTAGGGGTCCCCAACCACACACAAGGCACTCTTTTCCCCCTGTGATCCAAGGATTTGCAGACCTGTATGCCAGGAAATGGGCTAGAAGTCCAAATATGTGTTTCATAGTGTTTCATAGGCTCAGAGGGAAGAAGCTGACAGGGTGAGCAAGGCCACAAGGCTTCTCCTGACTCAGACCGACAGAGTCGGGGCCCTGCCCGACTCTCCAGCCCAGCGGCCCATCACGCGTCATGCAGAGGATCAGACTGGTGAGACTGTGCCGGTCTCCCGTCAAAGTGGAGCTGAGCAGAACTGCCTGGAATGAAGAGCTGGGGTGGAAATGGCCGAGAGGGAGGAAGGCCCCAGGCTCCTGCTGAGCCCAAGCTGGTGATGACTAAGACTGAGGCCCAGCCTAGAAGGCGGGCCATTTCCATGGGGCCTTTCAGGCTGGCTTTCTGGGCTGAGCCACCAGGGACTTCTCTCTACATGCTAAGTGCCAACGTTAGCACTTGCTGCTGTGACCCTGGGGAGGGCACTGCCCACTCTGAGCCCCAGCAGCTCTGTCTTCTGAAGCACTGTGGGGCTCTAGGGAAAGATGACAGATTTTACTAATAAATTATATTACTGTTACGCAAATGCAATTCAGCAAGTCTGATCGCCTTGTTCCCAAAAGCCTGGAGTCACATACTGTCCAGCCTCTCTCCCATGTAGAGGTGACATCAGGCAGGGTCAGAAGGAAGATTGTTGGGGCCAGAGAGCACGGGTGCTGGGACTGGGGGCTCTGGTCTACCCAGAGTGGCAGGGAGAGCATACACCTTGCTTCAGGCAGTCGCAGAACCAGTCTCCCTGTGCCTGGCACTACCAGGACGGCATGGGCAGTGCACTCGGCACTCTCTCCGCAGAGTGGTTCAGAAAAGGAGCTGAATGGGATGTGAGCAGAGCATTTCTCACTGTGCTGCAGACAAATGTTCTGAAGGGTTAAAAACCCGATTAGAGGGTTTGCACAGATGACTTTATTATCTTTACAGTACTGGAAATCATACCCGGGGCCTCATGCACACTAGACAAGCATTCTACTGCCTAGCCATTTGTCTACTTAGCAGATATTTTTATTTTTTATATTTTTAATAGCAAAACATTGGCACATTTTAGGCATAATGATAACTCAACAGGGAATTTGCACCTGTACATGGTACATCTGCCCCCTTTTTCCCATTCCCCCTTCCCTTAATCCCCCCCCACTCCCCATGTACAAAAGCTTTGTTTCCATTTTTTCCTTCTAGTTTCACTTTTCTTTCTTGTCCCTTCCTTCCGTTCTCCCTTCCTCCTCCCTTGTTCCCATTCCCATTTGAACATTTTCTTCCCATTTCCCAATTTCTATTATACATGTTAGTCCTTATTTCCACTTTCAGTTTCTCAGAGAAACAATGCAGTATTTAAACACATTTGTCCAATTTATTTCACCTAAGAGTATGGTCTCAAGTTTCATCCATTTAGCTATAAATGTCTCAAGCTTATCCTTTTTTTTCCTTTTTTTTTTGGTACTGGGGATTGAACTCTGGTCCTTCCGCTTGCGAGGCAGGAGGCAGAACCACTGAGCTAAATCCCTGGCCCTGATCCACGTTGATTTTAGGTTAGCGCATGGTGAAAGATATGGGTCTGGTTTCTTTGGCATATGGTGACAGGGTCCCCCAAGTCAGACCCTGCCCAAACAGACCCGCTACCCCTGACCACAGGAGCACAGAGATAACAAGAAGCCAGCAGCTGCCCTGCTGCTCTCACCACTGCCCTGTTTATCAGCCAGCCCCAGGCCCATTACCCATGGGACTCTAAAATTTTTCACCCTCTCCACCAGTGCCCCCTCCCTACCAAAAATGTCCCATATCAACCACAAACACCCTCCCCTCCTCTCAGTGCCAATGGCCTTCTTGCCCTTGCCTCATCTGCACCCAGATAGCAATAAACTCTTTGCATGTGGCTTAGATTTTGCCTGCTTCAGTGGTCTCAATCGTGCCTTAGTCTGACCTTACATATGGAAAGTCAGTTGTTTGTCTGGTTGTTTTTTTGGTACCAAGGATCTAACTCAGGACCTTGCCCTTTTGGGGCAATCATGGTGCCATTGAGCTAAATCCCCAGCCCAGTACTATGCTGTTTTTATCACAGTAGCTTTGTACTATAATTTCAGGTAAGTGGATTGTTATGCCCCTCCCTTGCCTTTGTTGTCCAGAATTGCCTTTTCTATTCTAGGTCTCTTCTGGTTCCAAATGAATTTTAGGATTTTTTCTTATTCTGTGAGATATGCTGTTGGAATTTTGATTAGGATTGCATTAAATCTGTATAACAATTTTGGAAGTATGGCCATTTTCACTATATTGGTTCTTCTTATCTAAGAATAAGGGCTGTCTTTTCATTTTCTGATATTCTCTTCAATTTCCTTTTTCAGAGTACTGCAGGTTTCAATGTAGAGGTCTTTTACTTCCTTCATTAGATTGCTTCCTAGGTTTCATTTTTTTGGATTTAGCAGGTTTTTTGTGGTACTGGGGATCAAATCAGGGCCTTGTGCTTTTGAGGCAGGCACAGTGTCACTGAGCTAAATCCCCAGGCCTTTAGCAGGTATTTTAATAGAACAGAGGCAGATGTGGTGGCTGAATGCCTGTCATCCTCAACACTCTGGAAGGCTGAGGCAAGAGGATTCCAAGTTCATACCCAACCTGGGCAACTTAGTGAGAAAGTGTCTCAAAGTAAAACATAAAACAGAGATGTAGCTTAGTACAAAGGGCCTGGATTCAATCCTCAGTACTGGGGTGGGGGGTAGGGGATAGGAGAGGGTAGATAGAAAACACTGCAGTAGATATCACCTGCAAGAGTTTGGATGTAAATATTATTTCTTAGGATGGGTCTCAGCTAATGAAATTTGAGATCCTTCAGAGGGCAACAGCCCTCGCCCACTTTGTCTCAAAGCAGGGGAACCAGTTAGCATCAGCAAGCTGGGGGCAGATGCTGTTGTTCAGCTCTCTAGATAGGGCCTCTTGCTTGCTCACTGGCCTGGCGAGAACCAGGCAGAAGTCCAGGTCAGGTGGAAGGGTGGGCTGCTCCTGACTCCCTATCTCTCCCCAGGGTGCAGTATGTCAAGCTGCTCAATGGGTAAAAAGACACCATCAACTTGGGCCAGAGCTTCCCGAACGTCCCAACCCAGACTTTACCATGGATTCCTTTCAGCAGGGTGTGAGCGGGGACCACATGCTCAACCAGTACACCTTGGCGTTTGTTGAGTCCCGGGAATTCCTGGGGGAAGAAGGGGCAGGCCCAAATGGACAACAAAGTCACACAGGGTCAGGGTCCAGGTGTAATGCAGATTCAGACACTGGGGCAAGGTGCCCAGTGACAGGCAGGGACATTCAGCCAGCCCCTCCCACCACCTCCTACAGAGCCCCAGCCAAGATCATCAGGACCTGGATTCTTACAGCAAGTGGCACCTGGATGCCACAGAACTGGCTGGCAAGTTCACACCTTGAAACAAAGCCCTGGTCCTCAATACACTCAACAACTCACTAGGGAAGGTACCTGGGGACTGAGCCAACATGAGGTCCCAATGACAAGCGCAGGAACCCCGCAGGGCTCCAGGACTGGGATGGGGGCATGGGTTGGGACAGCATCATTTTCAGTCACCTTGGGAGAGTGGCCTCTCCTAGTGGTTCCTCGTGTGTGAAATGAGACATGAGTGGGCCGTGTCACCAGGTCATGGCGCTGAGGTCTGTGGGAAGGTACAGGGAAGGCCCTAGTGCCCGCCAGTGCCACTGCTAACACTGAGCAGGCCCAGTCCCAGCTGATGGCCTGCGCCTCCCTGGTCCCACAGGTGTTCTGCAAGGCAGAACTGGAGCTGGTGGCCAGCCTGTGCCAGCAGCATGACGTGCTATGCATCAGTGACGAGGTCTACCAGTGGCTCGTCTATGACACACACCAGCACGTCAGCATAGGTGAGCCGAGCTGGCCTGCATCTCCCTGGACACTGTGACCAGGCACTGAGCCCCAGCTGGAGACCTAGACCCGGGCTGGGAATCTATACTTGTGTGACCGTGGGCAGCAACTTCACCTCTCTGAGGACGGGGCCACAGCAGCACGTCCCTCCCCAGGCTGTCCTGAGGATGAGATCAATAAGTCCTGTCTGTAGCTTAGTGGGTGGCCATGTCCCCAGTGTGGAGAGTCCATGTCTGCACCTGGGCCCAGGCCACCCCTCCCTGCTCATCGCCCTTGCTCAGCGGTGGTTCTCTTTGGCCCTGGGCAGCCAGCCTCCCTGGCATGTGGGAACGGACCCTGACCATCGGCAGTGCTGGCAAGACCTTCAGCGTCACCGGCTGGAAGGTGAGTCCATGCAGTGTGGGGTGTGGGAGAACCCTCCCTTGTGGTCCTTGGCAGCGATGCCAGCCATGGGAGTGGAGAAAGGATTGACCAGGTCTCGAGGGCCTCACCCGCTCGCTGCCTGTGTCCCTGGTCCAGGTGGGCTGGGTCCTGGGTCCCGATAACATCATGAAGCACCTGCGGACTGTGCACCGGAACTCTGTCTACCACTGTCCTACTCAGGCCCAGGTGAGAAGGGCCAGGACTGGGCGGGGGCAGGAACAAGCAATGAGAGACCCCGTTTGGCACAGTGGCAGCGCATCCCTGACCTGTTTGTCCATCCTCCCTATGCAGGTCGCAGTAGCTCAGTGCTTTGAGCGGGAGCAGCTCCTCTTTGGCCAACCCAGCAGCTACTTTGTGCAGCTCCCTCAGGCCATGCAGCGCTGCAGGAACCACATGATTCACAGCCTGCAGTCTGTGGGCTTCAAGCCTGTGGCCTCACAGGGTGGCTACTTCCTCACTGTGGACATCTCCAACTTCAGTGAGTGACACTGACTGTACCCAGTGGCAGGGTGTAGGGGCTGGAGACTTGGTCATGCCTAGGACTCAGCATGGCCTCTGTCCCCAGAGAGCAAGATGCCTGACTTGCCTGGTGCTGCTCATGAGCCCTATGAGATGCTTCGTCAAGTGGATGATCAGGAACAAGGTAGACAGGGCCTCTGCCCATGCAGCCTGGTGGCCAAGGGTGCCCAGCCCAGAGGCACCACCTGGCCTCAACTGTGAGCCCTGGTACAGGTTCCACCCACTCCAATAAGCAGGGTCCCTGGCTCTAATTTGCGTGATGATGCAGTGCTGGGCTTCAGTCTTCCCATCTGCATAGTGAGGAGCTGGGCCATTACTCTGAAGTCTGTCTAGGTCACCCCTGTGATTCTCAGACTCATTTCCTCTCTGGCTCTGCCCTGGCCTGTGGCATGGTCTGCCCCCTCCTGGCAGCTTCTGCCTCTGCACACACGAGGGACCTAGCCTGATGCCCAGTGTTTCTTCTGCCCTGACAAAGCACTTTGAGGGGATGCATGGGCCCTAGCTTTCCTTGCTGTCCCTCATGGGAAGCTCTGTGTCCCCTGAGCTGTGGCTGCTAGACCACAAGGCCATGTGAGACCTGTGATTCCTCCTCTCCAGGGTCTGGTGGCCATTCTGGTCTCCATCTTCCATAGCGGGCTACATCAGTAGGACTTTGAGCACTACATCCGACTCTGTTTTGTGCAGCTAAGGGTGGGGCTGGGGCCCCTCCCTGTGCTTCGGGTGGCCGCGGGGTGTAGGGTGGAAGGAAGGCCCAACACTGCAGGAGGAAGCCACATTCCTGGCCATGGATGAGAAGGCTCAGAAGTGGAAGGCTGAGCTGGAAGTCTGAGGTTGCTCCTGAGATACACGGTGCCATACACTTCTTTGACTAGTTTCCAGCCATTCTGGTCCCCACTGTTTATCTCAATTGGTTTTTCCCTGTTGTGGAATACATGTACCAATAGTGTTGCCATCTTAACCATGTTTAGTGTCCAGGTCGGTGGCATTTAGCCCATTCCCAGTGTGGTGCAACCATCTCCACAGCATCTGCAGGGCCTCCTCATCTCCTGCAACAAACCTGTTCCTTCAGGTGCTAGCAGCCCAAGCCCCTCCCAGCCCCAGCATCCACCCTTATTTTCTATAGCTAGGAGCTTGCTATTGTAAGCATTTTGTATGTGTGGAATCACATTTTGTCCTATTGTGCCTGGAGTATTTTACTGAACACGAAGTCTTCAAGGTTGATCCACGTTTTAGCATTATTTCTGAATTTCCTTCTGTACCAAAGGTTGAACAATGCTTCCTGAGTCTATTTTATACTCTGGGACACTGAGTGGCAGAGGGAGAAGTCATTTATCAACTTCCTCACCTGGCAGTGTCAGAGGCAGCCTCTGAATGTGGATTTGGAGTGCAGCCCAGACAAGCAGCCCCTGTGGGGTAGGCCATTCCTCTGCTAGTCACCTTGCCATCCCTGTGATAAAATACCAGAGAAAGTCAAGTTAGAGGAGGAAAGGTGTCTTTGAGCTCACAGGTTCAGAGGTTTCAATCATGGAAACTTCTGGGCCTGCACTGAGGCAGAGCATGATGGGGGAAGGACGGGATATAGGGAACAGGGAAGGGGACGTTGCCAGAACCTCTGCCATGGGTCCTGGCCTCCTGTGAGCCACTACAGCACAAGGCAAATTAAACAACAGACAGGAAACAAGACTTAGAGTGGAGAAGTTGTCTTGGGCATGGTCAGTGCTGCTGATGGCATCAAAGACAAAGGGCCCCAAGCACATCCAGTATTTATTGAATATAATTGTGGGAAGGGATAGGGAGCTGGCTATGCTTTGAAGGAATCCAGTGAAATACTGTGAACACCTGGCATGATGGCGCCATGCAGGGCTGTCAGGGAGGAAGCACTGCTTGTCTTGATTGGATAGAACAAACAGTTACTGGGCCTGGGTGCAATTAGCAAGCAACCCATCAGGTCATTTAGAAGCCATAATTCAGGGGAAAGGCTTTTAATTGGGATCACACTGACCTCAGCTGCACGTAACTCAGCAGAGCCCTGCACTTCACAGCCAGGGTTCTAGGTGTCCATGGCAGCCATCCAGAAGAGGCTATACTTGCCCAGTCCACCATCTTTCATGGCCATTTGAGTCACACAGAGCTTCAGTCTGACTCCTGATATAAAACAACATAGCCGAATTATGGAAAGCAAGAAGCAGGTGCCGCTCATAGCCTGCTAGTACTGGGCAGGGATGTCTGCTACAATGGAACAGAGGAAAGCCGCTTACAGCATGGCAGCAATGGGCACAGAGAGTGGGAAAGAGACAGACAGGATGGGACCAGGGTCAGGATGTCCTCCCCAAGCACATCCCTGACAACCGCCACCTCTTACTAGGTCCTGTGTCCTAAATGTCTCATAGCTCTCATTACTATTAGCTAGTAGCTGAGGAACCTATCATGGATTATCCATGGATGAAGTTAGACAGCTCTGGATCCATTCACCTGGGAAAAGCCCATCAGCTAAACTAAGCCCTGAGCAAATGGAGGGCATCCCAGAACCCAAGTAAAACAACTCTCAGAGTGCAACCCACACCTGCCAGCTCTCCTTGGCACCCTTGGGTGTGGTGGAAAGCAGCAGAAGGGTGAGCCACACTCAGGGCAGTGGCCTGTCCCTACAGAAGAAGCCTTTCTCAGGAGGTATCCCTAGGCAGTGTCTTGGTGCCCTCCCTGGGCTCAGCCCTGTCTAATTGGCGCAGCCTCCTAGCGGAGATGTGCAGCAGCTTCTCTCCCAGGGCCTCATTTTCATTTTCTGGGAGGAAGCTGAGAATCTGTCATCCCTGTGCCCACATGATATAAAAAGTGAACAAAAATAGAAGGATGAGTGCCTGAGGCTCCTCCCCAACTTGGTCTCTTCCTCCTATCATCTCTTCCAGCCCGAGGTTATATAGCAGGGCTTGGGCCCAGAGCCTCTGCTGCTATTATACACAAACACACACACACACACACACTCCCCACCATTTCTGCCTGCAGTCAGCAGAGAGGACAGAAACCATCCAGCAGCCATGACACCTTTCCCTGGCCCCCTGGTTTCCCCAGTTAACATGGGGAAGGTGACAGATGCCTTGCTGAGCCAGAGACTCTCATGAAGATCATAGATACAGGGTCTCACCAACTGCCTGTGTGGGACCTACAGCAGGTGGAGTGAAAGCCCTGGACAGAAGTGAAGACATGAGCTGGATTCCACCAAACAACACTCTCAGACTCCACAGGCTGAGGCCACCAGGTCTGAAATGTCACTTTCAAAAACCCTTCGGAAGTCAATACTGGAAAGGAGCACGTTTAGACTCAAGCCACAGGGACGGTCTTCTCCTTTCTCCTCACCTCCCTTTTAGCTGACATGTAAAGAACATTCCAAAAGGAGCCAGGGCAAAGCTTCTTCCAGGTACTGCAAGAGGGAAATGGATCAGGGCCACCCTGTTCCTGAAGATGCAAGAAGACCCAGGTTTATGCAACCACAGAATCCATTCAATGGGTGTGGGATCCACACCCCAGGTGGCCATGCCTCAGGCAGACAGCAGAAGCCAAAGCCTGTAGGTCCAACCTAGAGGCTGGGCCCGCTGTTCCCTGCAGGGTGTCCCTGGTGTCCAGGAAGAATTCCTGTTGGGAGCCATTCTGAGGCCTCAATGGTGTCATGATGTGATGCTCAAGGACAAGATTACATCAGCATATGATCCTTGTGAACTCAGGATTATTGCTGGCCTCTGAGACATCTGATCCTCCCTCAGATTATAAAATCCTCCTGAATTTGGGATTATCCTGGCCCTGAGTCATCAGATACTCCTTATGAACCAAGACAATAAATAGTGGCAAGCTCAGGGAATATCTTTGTCTTTGCCTGCTCCAAGGCACTGACCTCCTGGTCCCCCTCTCCCCGTATACCTGAAATTACTCAAGTCTCTATTGTGTTTTTTTCTTTAGCCCTTGCTGTGCCCCTTTCTAGGCAGTCAAAGGATTGATAGGCCTCTGATAAATTCCCACCTCACATAAGCAGGACTGCCCTCTTCTGGGACAGAGTTTATCAAAACCAACAGGGCAGGGCCAGGGTATCTTGACCTTGTCCCAGAAAACAGGATATAGCAAGCATCACACACCAGGCACTTCCTGTCTCCCTCTGCAGCTGCAATGCCCACCGCTGCCAGGGGAGAGGCGGAGTTGGTTGGCAGCAGAAAGTGCCTTCTGTCTGCACATTCATTATTGCGCTCACACCTAACTCTGGCCTGGGAAAGGGAGCCACAGGCTGCCAATCAAACAAAAGCAATCTGCTGGTTTTTGTGACAGTAGATACACTGTAGTAATAAAGGTGAAGAGAACCTCCTGCCCAGGACTTTGGGCCTGTTTCTTCCTCCTCTGAGTCTCAGTCCTGCCACCTGTAAACGGGACAACAGCCACTGCTCAAATGTCTGCAGATGATCACATGAGTCAATGACATGAATGTGTGCTCATTATCCAGCAGTCTACACACAAGCCATGTCTGATTAGGCACCCCTTTCTGGGACACCCACTCTGCTAGGGGCCTGCTCTTTATCAGTGTACTCAAGCCTCAAAACGCCGTCAAGAAAGTCAGTCTCTAACACCGACCCTTTTCAAATAAGAGAAACCCATTCAGAGAGGTACAACCACTACCCGAAGTCTCAGCAACTGTATGGAAGCTGGGGCTCAAGCACAAGCCGGGCTGGAATCAGGTCCTAATTTCCTCCTACCTTGGGCATCCTTTTGCAAATCTTAGGCCAAGGAGCTGTGCCTTCTGTATCAAAGAGGGTAGGGGCCATGGCCACGAACAGAGAAGAGCTTTGAAAATGGACAGAAGGCCAGTCGCATCAGGTGCTGACAGCAACAGTGGTGCGACCGGCTGGTCTCGGAGTAAGGTGGTACTTTCTCAGTGATGGTGCCTCAGAGCTTGGTGAGGAGGCAGAGTTGGCATCTAGGTCTGAGTCTGAATTGGAGCTGCAGCCAGAGGAGTTGAAAGAGGAACTTGGGGTTGACCAGATTAAGAAGTCATCATGCCAAAAGGTGAAGAATTGGTCCAACATCAAAAAATATAATCAGGCCGGGGACTTAGCTCAGTGGTTCTGCCGCCTGCTGTGCAAGCCCAAGGACTCGAGTTCGATCCCCGGTACCAAAAACAACAAAACAAAAAACCCCAAAAATATATATATAATTAAAGTTTGAAGATGTCAAAAGGTGAAGAAGGGTTGTTTCAAAATCAAAAGCACAGGACTATACCAGCTCACCATGGATATCATGATGATGATCCGGGTGTGTAAGATGTCCCTCCAAGGCCTGGGGGAATTCCGGGAATATCAAATCATTGAGCCTGTTTACAGAAGAAATCCTGTCTTCTCCTTCTGGAATAGAAAGAAGCAAGGCCGAATTATGTTTGACACCATGGACTTCATTGCAGAGGAGGGTCACTTCCCTCCAAAGGCCATTAAGATCATGCAGAAGCCTTCCTGGAGGGAGGAGCATGAGATCCAGGTCCTCTGCAACATCCTGCAGTCTCTGGATAGCTTCCCAAACTATGAAGAGCCCCTGCAGCTGCTCTTGGCCAAGGTCATGTGCTTTGAACGGTTTGGTTGCAGGCATGTGATCATCAGGAAGGGACAGAAGAACAGCAGCTTTTACTTCATCTACTTAGGGCCAGTCGCAGTGACAGAGGATGAAGATGGCAGCAGTGCCTTCATGGACCCCCACCCGACATTGCTGCAGAAGGGCAGTTGTTTCGGGGAAAAGGCCCTTCTGAATGCATCAGTAAGGTGGGCCACTGTGGTCTGCATGGAGGAGACAGAGTTCCTGGTTGTTGACAGGGAGGACTTCCTTGCTAATAAGCTGGATGAGGAAATTCAAAAGGATACTCAATATTGATTTGAGTTGTTTAGGAACATGGATCTGTTTCAGTCATGGTCTGATGAGAGGCTCTCGCACCTAGTAACCCTGGGCAAGATAGAGCAATTCTCATATGGGCAGCTGATCACAAAAGACTTGGCAGAGTCATCCTGCATCATGTTTATCTGCAAGGGCAGCTTTGAAGTCCTACGGCTGATAGACCTTGGGACGTCCCCTTACTATTACAAGTGGATCTGGCAGCATCTGGAGTTGATAGACAACAAACCCCTGAGGGCTCACCTCAATGAACCAGATCCTATGGTGAGATTTAAGGAATTCCAGATCAAATCATATCCTGTACAGGACTTTAGCTCTTTGAAACTTCTGGGTCTCCAGGAAGCCAGGAAGAAACGGGGATAACCTTCAGTGGACCAACCAAAACCTCAGGAAATAGTCTCCCCAGGATGCTGGGCCCAAAGATCAATTTGGTGAGCTCCTCAAGGAGGCAGCAGTGGGGGCCTACATGAAAATCCACACTGTGGAGCAAGGAGAAGTTATGGGCTTTCACCAGGCCTTCCTCCCAGAGAACCCACGTGACATGTGACCCTTCATACTGGTGAGCCTGGGAGCTAAGTTGATACAGTTTAGGAGAGAAAATTTTCTTGAATTGATTGATGATGAGACAAGAACAAAATTGACAGAGATGGAGGTTGAATACCCCAGGTACAGAAGCATTTGAGATCCAAGGGTCTTCCAGAAAAAGCAGTGCTTCTTTTAGATTTCCCCCCAGCACATCCAAATGAAGAACTGTTGAGTTCAGGTGACGGCAGAATAATTGTGAAGTATTTGCCAGCGAATATCACAAGTCTAATTCAACCAATGAGCCAGGGAGTTTTAACCACAGTAAAAAGATACTATTGAGCAGGACTTCGCCAGAAGTATATGAAGGAATTGACCCAAAAAATGTTTTGGAAGAATTTGACAGTGTTGGATGCAATTTATGAGGTATCCAGGGCTTGGAACATGATAAAAGCAAGTACCATAACCAAGCCATGGAGAAAACTTTTCCCTGGCAATGGAGAAAATTCGCTTATGAACATTGATGAAGGAGCCATTTTAGCTGCTAACTTACCAACAGTTTTACAGAATACAGAAGACTGTGAACACGTTGACATTGAGAATATTGATCAGTGGTTTGACTCTCGGAGTAATGACTCAAGCTGTCAGGTGCTGACGGACAGTGAAGGTGCTGAGGACCTTGCCACAGCTGCTGAGCAGAAGCCCCACAATAAGACTAAAAAAGCAGAACTGAACCCCGAGAAGCATATTAGCCATAAAGCTGCAATTGAATGGACTGAAAATTTACTGAGGTATCTAGAACAACAAGATGACATGCTTCTGACTGGTAAATTGGTATTACGGAGGCTTCGGACCATAATAAGAAAACAAAAGATCCAAAATAACAAAAATCATTCACAGTGCTCTCAAATATTTCAGTGTGTTTTCATCTTTGTGACTGTTTATCTGCAGTGGAACTTACCTTGTTTGAAGTGCTGTGGATTCTAAGGCCAAATACATTTTATAAATGATTTTAGGACTAGATGCCATTTTGGATCACCTAAATCACAGCTCTTTAATGTTGATGCTGGTAACTGAGCATTATCATGTAACTTGTCTGTCTACTGTTTTTAACTAGATTATAAGGTACCTAAGGCCAGGGATCTCTGTTTTGTGCTTGAATTCCAGTGTCTAATAAAAGTCCATGCACAAGAAAGAAAGAAAAGAAAAGAAAGAAAACGGACAGAAAAGCTGCCGAGGAGAGCTCCGGGGTGCAGCCTGTGGGAAGAGGGGAGCATATGCAGGAAAAGAAGATCGAGGGGACCTGGGGGAGTCAGGCGGACGCTGCCGCGGGGAGCACACAGAGAGACGCCCGCGCCGCGGCACCGGGAGAGAAGGGGACCGCGGGGACCTGGCGCCTGGAGGACACGGGAGGAAGGCAGAACACAGCGGCACCAGGAGGACCAGGAGGACGGTCCCGGGGACACAGCCCGAGCTGACAAGGACAGGTGACGCCAGGCAGCGGCAGCCGGCGTCTGAATGGGCTTCCGGAGGGGACAAGTTGCATCCTTCCCTCACCTGGCTCAGCCACCCGGGGTCCTTACGCAAGGCCACCTAGCTCCTCTGACAACCGGTTTAGCCAGTTGCTCTCTCAACCTCTCAGCCGATCCGTTACCGGAAGTTATGTCACCAATGGGCGCGGCCAGGGCGGGCAAGGCGAAGCCAACGCTTCAGACACTTCAGAGGCAGAGGTCTCTACACTTTCAGGTAACTGCTTCTCTTGCGCCGGCGCCACGTTGCTTCTGGGCGGACATAAGTGCCCCAAGGCTCGGCCCCCTTAAAGGAACAGGAATCGCTGCAACCTGAGGGGATACGCTAGGCTGGAGCGGAGCAGTGGCTGAAGGTGACTAGTAGCTGCTTCCCGAGGGTGGCTGCCCCTGAGAGCGGGTGCCGAGGCCAAGAGGACCTGGTGAGGGTCCGTGCCTGATGCTGCCAGAACCCTTGATGCGCTTGGTGCCATTCATGTGTTGTGAGGCTTTGTCGTAAAGATCGAACCATTCCTCGGGATAACTTGGGCCCGCCCGCTGCTAGCTGATTTGCGCTGGGACACTGCTTTTTGCATGTAGGTCCCAGTATGGTCGTCCTGGGGGTGAACGGGAAGCCCAAGGTAACAGCCAATTCTGGGCCGAACAGGCCCTGGAACCAAGTCCTTGGGTGCCATCTCGATCTCTGTGGATCCCTCCCGGGTCCTGCTAGTTCCCAGGGTGACAGTAGTAATGTCAGTCAGGTTTTAAGAATAATAATTGTCCATCCGTTGGAGACCTGTGCAGCCATGAAAAGCGACAAGTGTTCAGTGTGAACTAATGGGAGGACTTGCAAGGTACCTTAGGTGGAAAAGTAGGGGTCAGAAAGAACAGTTTGAGCGCTGCTCCCGTTCGTATAAGGTCGCCTGTGTATATGGATGTGGCTAGGAGTATCTGCCATGTGCCTACCCCCTAACTGCTGAGATGCACAAGCTGTTAACTGTCTGGGTTGCAGGAGAACTGGGGTCCTGAGTACCTGGCACGCACTGAGACTGGGACGTACTTGCTACCCAGTGCACAAGGTGATTATCCAAACTAAAATGAGAAGCCGACTATTGAGCCAGTGCCTCTTTCAGCTCTCCTGCTGGAAGGTCTTTTTTCCCCTTTTGATTGAGGACAAAACCTTGGAGAGGTTGAGGAATTTAGCAGAATCACAGCCAGAAAGTGGAGAAGCTGGACTTTGATTGCTAGAGGGGTTTACACAAATGCCCAACCTACCGTGACCAACTCCCTGCTACTAAGGAGCTGTTTTGTTGTCAGTCACACAGTGGGCACCCAGTAACTGTTTAGTGATGGAACAAGTGGGACAGATTGAGAGACAACCTGGGGGATGGCGTGGAAAGAAGCAGACAGTGATAGGGAGAGCTCAGGATGAAGTTCAAGGCTGGCTGCCGGTTTCTAGCCTTGAGAAGGATGTGGATGGGGCACCTCCTCCCTGGTCCTCCATATCCCAGCCTGTAACAGAAGCAACCACATTATCTGGATGTCGTGGCGTACACCTGTAATTCTGGGAGTCTGAGGTAAGAGGATCACGAGATAGAGCTTAGCTTGGACAAGTTAAGAGAAACCCTGTCTGAAAAACAAAAACTAAACAAAGGGCTGGGGATGGAGCTCCCCACAAAGGCCCTGAGTTCAATCCACAGTACTACAAAAAAAGAGAAAAAGATAAAGCAAAGGAAGAATGGACTGTACTTAAAGGGATGATATGAAGTGGTCACCTGTCTGGCTCTCCAGTCTCCTCCCTACCACCTCCCAGCAGGAATCACTTTCAGCGTTAATTTTTTTTTTGGTACCGGGGATCGAACTCAGGTCCTTGCACTTGCAAGGCAGGGGGTGGAACCACTGAGCTAAATCCCTGGCTCACTTTCAGCATTTTGAGCTGTATTTTTTTATGCACTCACACATCTCATATTTCTAAGTAATAAGCTTATACTGCTATCATATTCTTTTTTTGTTTTGGTTGGTTGGTGCTTTTTTTTTTTTTTTGGTACCAGGGAACCATACATGCTAGGCAAGTACTCTCCCCTGAGCTACACCTCCAACTATACAGCCTCATTAAAAAAAAAAAAAATTGCCAGGTGTGGTGGCACACACCTGTGATCCCAGCACTCGGGAGGCTGAGGCAGGAGGATCATAGTGAGTTTGAGGCTGACCTGTGCCTTGCAGTGAGTTCAAGGCCAGCCTGAACTACATAGTGACATCCTGCCTCAGAAAAACAAAACAAGGAATACTTTGTTATCTTACCTCTTTCTGCTTGTGGACGATGCTGAGGAAGCATCATGAAAGTCTCTCTTCTGACTGCCATGGTGTCTAAGGCAGTCTCCTATGGAGCCCAGGCAGCTGTGGAAGCTCTTCTTCAGAGGGCTGAGCTTTGAAACAACTGATGAGTGTGAGAAGCCATTGTGAGCAGTGGGGAACACCCTCGGCTCTGTGGTAATGCGAGATCCAGACATGAAGCGCTCCAGGGGCTGGGGGTTTGTCACTGATGCCACTGTGGAGGAGGTGGATGAGCTATGGATGCAAAGCCACACAAGGGGGATGGAAGAGTTGTAGAACTAAAGAGAGCTGTCTCGAGAGAAGAGTCTCAAAGACCTGCTGCTCACCTAATTGCCGCAGACCAGCTGCAGTCGATGCAGGGTAGGAAGGGGAGAGGTCTTGGGCCGGCGAGTGAGAAAAGAACCTTCGCAAGCAATGTGCAGGTTCCCTCTGAGAAGTCTCAGGGCCCGATTTATTTTTATATCTTTAAGCAATGGCTAGGAGGCATTGGGCAGAACATGTTTACATTTTAGGTTGCCTTAGCAATTTCCATTGAAGTAAAGGTTATTTTTTGCTAAACAGAGTATATTTTTCCTAAGCTGATTCATTTCGTTGAACATCATGAACACATTTTAAAAATTACAATTGTCCCCTTATTTACCCACACCTAAGCAGAACAGAAGGTAACTTAATCAAAATCTCTATATCAGCAGGGGTACAAGCAAGATTTAGTTAATTAAATGTCAAACTTGTGGTCATCAGCTGGCCCTTGAGAAACTGCACAATGGTTAATATAGTTTGCTATTAGCTCTCTATTTTTCTATACCTCTATTCATCTTACTTAAGTGTTATTTGGGTTCATGGTCCATGAGCAGGAGATGTTTACAGTACTTTGAGAAAAACTGAGTAACTTGCCTCCTTAGTGTATTTATCTGTCTTAACTTTCTTTCTATTTCCCATTTCCCACTGTTTCTTACATCTAAAGTCTGTCCTTTCAGTCTCTTTATAAGACCCCTTTAGTAAAAAGAAAGTCATCAATAGAAGAAAGGAGTTATAATAGCGGGAAAACAGAGGGAGTTTTAGGAGAGGTTTCTTTAGAGGTGAGTGTGGCAATAGAACTAAGAAGAACAGGAATTTGGGACTCTTGAGCCAGATTAGATTTCAATACATCATTGTCAATTTGCCTTATGGAGAGTTTGTTGTTAGTCACAAACACAATGACTCCTGTGACCAGAGTAACAATTTTAAACATTATGGCAAGAAAAAAATAAAACATGAGGGTACGATGTGTTCCCCCCTTCTTTTCCCCAAGCTGGAACTTTGTCAAGCAGCCTTGGAGGTCGGTTGGGCTTCGCCACCTAATAGTGAAGATCTTTTTTGGTGGCATTAAAGAAGATACTGAAGGTCCGAGGATTTAGCTCAGTGGTGCCACTGCCTGCCTTGCAACCACAAGGTCCTGAGTTCCATCCCTGGTACCAAAAGAAAAAAAACAAAAAACAAAAAAGAAGAAGATACTGAAAAGCATCACCTACGAGGTTATATTGAACAGCAGGGAAAAACTGAAGTGATTGAAATCATGACTGACCAAGGCAGTGGAAAGAAGAGGGGCTTTGCTTTTGTAACCTTTGAGGACCATGATTCTGTGGACAAGATCGTCATTCAGAAATACCATGCTGGGAACAGGCACAACTGTGAGGTAAGGAAAGCCCTGTCCAGGCAGGAGATGGCCACTGCTTCCTGTAGCCGATGAGGTCAGAGTGGTTCTGGGGAGTGTGGAAGTGGGTTTGGTGGCAATGACAATTTTGTTCATGAAGGAATCTTCAGTGGTCGAGGTGGCTTTGGTAGCAGTGGTGGTGGTTGGATATGGTGGCAGTGGGAACAGCTATGATGGATTTGCTAACAACGGAAGCGAGGGGTTTTTTGCACCGGAAATTGAACTCAGGGCCTTGCACTTGCAATAGAAGCCATGTTGGAGATGGTGGAAGCTACAGTGATTTGGGCAATGACAACAATCAATCTTCCAATTTGGGACCCATGAAGGGAGGAAACTTTGGAGGCAGAACCTCCCGGCCCTGTGATGGTAAAGGCTGATACTTTGCTGAACCACGAGATAAAGTTGGCTCTGTGGTTCCAGCAGTAACAGTAGCGGTGACAGTGGCAGGAGCTTTTATTTATTTATTTATTTATTTTTATTTTTTATTTTTTATTTTTGGTACCGGGGATCAAACTTGGGTCCTTGCACTTGCACAGCAGGCAGCAAACCGCTAAGCTAAATCCCCGGTCCAAAGCAGAAGCTTTTAATATTGCCAGGGAACAGAGCTCAGTGGGAGAGGAGCAGCAGAGAAGTGACAGGGGAGCTAAGGGTACAGCAGATTTGTGAACGTAGCCAAGCACAGAGGTGGCAGGGCCTCGCTGCAACAAAGAACACGTGTTTTAGACAATACTTGTGTGTATGGGCAAAACTGCTCCAGGACTGTATTTATGGCTAATTGTAGAACAGGTTAGTTTTATTTTAGTTCAGTTCTGTGGAGAGTATAAAGCATTCCAACAAAGGTGGTTTTTTGTTTTGTTTTGGTTTTTTTGCTGTACCAGGGATGGAACTCAGGACCTTTTCGTTTGCAAGGTAGGTGTGGTACCACTGAGCTAAATCCCCAGCCCTAACAAAGGGTTATAATGTAGACTTTTTTGTTTTACAGTAATGCTGTTTGATTATGACACTGAATGAATGTGCCTTTTAAAAAAATGTTATAGGTAAAGTTAGTCTAGGCTGAAGCCATCTTGGTAAACATCTCCACCAGTGAGAAGTTAGAATTCCTTCAGGATGATAGCAGGTTTCACTTAAAATTGATTTATAATTGCATGGGCAAAGACACCATTGTCTTCAGAAACCTTGGTGTGTTTGACTGATGTGACCTTCTGATTTTGTCCATTAAAAAGGTTATCCAGGGCCGGGGATCTAGCTCAGTGGTTCCACAGCCTGCCTTGCAAGCGGAAGGACCCGAGTTCGATCCCCGGTACCAAAAAAAAAAAAAAGGTTATCCAAGGAAAGTCAGTTATTTGATTATAAAGATGATTGATAGCACATCCTATACAATGTCTAGATTGTATAATGGTACCAGATAAAATGATAGACAAGATTGAAGCTTGTGTATCATCCATTATCCTGTGGTATCAATAAATACTTTAATTCTGTTATTAAAAAATCAAACTGTAAGACCAGGGATTTAGCTCAGTGGTTCTGCTGCCTGCCCCCCAAGGACAAGGATCCGAGTTCGATCCCAGGTACAAAAAAAAAAAATCAACTGTAAAAAAAAAAATCAAACTGTATACAGTTTTTTTTGTTGTTTTGGTTTGGTTTTGGTTTTTTGGGACAGGGGCTCAATATGTAGCCCTGGTTGGCCTTGAACTCAGGATGATCCTCCTTCCTCATCCTCCTAAGGACTGGGATTACAGGCATGCACCAGCAGAGAAAGCCGTGACATTTGTTTTTTACTCATTGTGGCTAGTGTTAGCTTGTGGGCCAAGACAAGTGCACAGTTTGGGAAAGAGGCATGGATGGAAGTGGCAAATAAAATAACGGGTGGCCATGTGCAGATGAAAATGAGTGTCACATTCGGCTTTAAAGCCTGCTACCAGATGCAGCTGTAGAATTAAATACATCAACTCACTGATCATTCTAAAGCCCGCTACTAGCTATGGCTTGTCACTTGACACTCATTGATAGGGCTTTGACATGAGTTTCCAAGCAAATGACTTATGATGGTCTCCATACATTCAGACCTCTCTGCTAATGTTCATCTGTATTTGCGCCACTCTGGATCCCTTTAATGCACAGTTCACAGTGCAGTTTGTCTTCCTGTGAGAACTCAGTGCCACCCCTCATCTGTCAGGAAGTGGAGCTCCGCCATAAATACACATGAAGCTTCCCTCATTTGCCCCAGCCACCTCCTGCTGTGGGGCATAGTTCCCAACAGGTGATGGATATTTCCTGATCTGAGGCCCAGGAGTTGGGGACCCCTACTGATAGAGTTTCCATCCATTTGAATGAGTTGATTGCATTCTATGGTGTCACTTAGCATGTTCTTCTGTCCTTTGTATTTTAGTAACTCAGTGTGGTCTGAGGTAGGTTCACTTTTACAGCTGAATAAATAGCTGGTTCATGTTTGTATTTCCAGAGTCAAAATACGATGTTGGGTTGATGCCACTGTGATGCTAGCAGCTGTCAGTGAGCCTCATCTGGGTCATTTTGTTTTTCATTGGAAGGGATATGCATTTTGAAAAAAAGATCACTCTAGTTCCAGGGCAGTGTGTGTGTGTGGCCAGAGTTGTGATAACTTAGTGGAATAATTGTGCACTTCCCAGGTGCCTGGCACATAGTGATACACTTTTGTTGCTGTTAGAACTCTGTGTGGGCGACCTAAGTTGTGACTTATAGCCATTCTCTGGCCCAGGCTGTCTCTTCCTCCTCCTCTGAGCCTGGAGGGGAATCATCAGCAGTGCCTGGGATCTGAGAGGCATGCTCTGGAATGCAGCAGCCATCTGTGTGCCCCTGGTGGGGCTCCTCCGAGGAAGGAAGGCTGGCGCCCCACTCACACAGGGCTTGCACCAGGCTGTAAGTGCTCCCCCCGGCAGTGTGCCTCCTGCATGGCCTGGGGCTCCTGGGTCTGGCTTGGCCCTGGCTTCCAAGCTATGCCTGAGCCTCCTCCTATAGGAAGACTTCCCTGACTACAGCCCTTCCAGCAGCTCTCCCTGGCCCTTGCTTCTGTAGTCTGGAACTTGTAGCTCTGCATTGAGTCAGCGTGGGCACTGCTGCTGCCTGCCTATCATCCCTGGGTTCACCCCAGCAACTCATATGCAGTAGGTGCTCTACCATGTTGCTTACACAATGACCCAAGGACAGACACTGTCTGCTCATTACCAAGCATGGGATGCCACTCCTGAAGGTCAGGACATTGAGCACCCCATGTTCCTGGCAGCCCCCGTTGTTTCCATCGACTCCCAAACCCATTCAGCTGCACTCACTTCCATTGCTCTCCCTTCCGAGCTCTGCCCCCTCCACTCCTCCCTTCTCTGATCCCCTCACCCCAACTCCCACACCCCCTGCTCCAGAGTCCTCACTGAAGCATGCTCATTCCCGATGCAGTGCCTCTGTCATCAATCCAGATGCTACCGATTGTAAGCCTTGCTGCCCCCTCAGGGATCAGCCAGAAGAAATGCCAGTTAGGCTGTGGCTAGGGATCCTAAGACACACTTGAATTCCAAGATCATGCCACGTGAAAAAACACGTCAGATCCAAATAGCATGCTCCTCATACAAAACACTGGGAAACAAAAACAAAAACAAAATACACTGGGAAACATAAAAGCAGACACAAGAAGCAAAATCACTTTCTGGGCCGAGGATTTAGCTCGGTGGTGCGGCGCCTGCCTCGCAAGTACAAGGTCCTGAGTTCAATCCCCAGTACCGGGGGAAAAAAATAAAAAATAAAAAATCACCTTTGTAATCCCAACCCCCAGAGGCAGGCTTTGCAGACATTTTGATAAATGTCCTTCCAAACTTATTTTTCCTACTCATATATTGTCATAGAAAACATGTCTGTAGATAAAAATATAAAGTCTTTTTCTCGTCACAAAACAGTTATTATACTCTATCATACGATTTGGGAGACTGTTTTATTTTTTCTTTGTTTGTGTCCTTTTTTTGTTTTTTGGTACTGGGGATTGAACTCAGGTCTTTGCCCTTATGAGGCAGGCAGTGGCACCACTGAGCTAAATCCCCAGCCCTTTTTACTTTATTTTTAAAATTTAATTTTTTGCAGGCCGGGGATTTAGCTCAGTGGTGCCACTGCCTGCCTCCCAAATGCAAGGTCCAGAGTTTGATCCCCAGTACCAAAAAAAAATTAATTTTTTGTATTACTGGGGATTGAACCCAGGGCCTTCACACTCAGCTACATCCCTACCCCCTTTTTTATTTTTTATTTTGAGACAGGTTCTCATGAGGTCTCCTAGCCCAGGCTTTGCTTGAACTTGCAATCCTCCTGCCTCAGGCTGTCAGAGTGCTTGGGCCACAGGCCTGCATCGCCTACCCGGCTCAGCCTGTTTTATTGATTAGTACACATTCCTGTAAAATGTGATCATAGTCTCCCCCTTTTATTTTTTGGTTATTTTTGATGCCAGGGATTGAACTCGGGACCTTGTGCCTGTGAGGCAGGTGCCAGAACCACTTAGCTAAATCCCTGGCCCTCCCACATGTTTTAAACATTATAATAAAATATTTATTTTAGGAAATTTGGAAAATAATAAAATTATAAGAAAGTAAATTAAAAATATCTATTAACCAACAGACCAAAGACAATGACCACTGACATTCTGGTGACAACGTGGTTGTCCCCGACAAGGTCTTCCCTCCTGCTGAGCGATTCTGCCAGGGACGGGCACTGAGTGCTGGCCGAGGAACAGGGCAGACAGAGCCAACAAAGCCCCCACTGGGCCTCAGGCCCCAGGCTGGCTGCGTACCAGGATCCCAGCTGTGAAGGAGTCAGGCCTTGCAAGGCCATCCAGGCCCCTTGGAGCCCAGCCTGGGGCTGACACTGCTGTGGCCACCGACAGGGTCCCGGAAACTTCTCCTCTGACCCCGGCCAAGGTCACCTGGCCAAGGCAGGCTGAGCCCAAGGTGGCTGTCAGGCCAGGACAGCGGCTGTGCCCTGTGGGAGAGCAGCCCCGGAAGAGCCTCAAGGAGGGGAGTGGTGGGCTGGGGCTGAGGCCCCCTGAGGCCCCCCAGGCCTGAGTGTGTCCCCTCCTGAGTGAGGACGCAGTCTGGGGTCACAGGCCAGGGTCTCCATGTGTTTGCTTGGGTGTCACCACATCCGTCCGCCCTAGACCCCTCCATTTTCTCATCTATAAATGGGCCCAGCCAGGTCATTCTTAAGTTAAACAGCAGTCCTGAGCAAGTCCCCTGTAAGTGATGCTGCTGCTGTCCCCGGTGCCACTGTCCTCCTTGTTTCCTCTCCTCAGCCTTCAGCCCCTCTCGACTCTCACTTGAACCCTGCCACATCTAGGCCTGTAGACTCCACCCACAGGTGGGAACCAGGGGTGAGGCTGGATGGAGCCTTCAGGTGAGGACAGGCCAGGCCAGAAAAGCAGGCTGAGGCTTCCCACCCACCTGTTAGCGTCTACCCTCCTCTGTCTCTTCCCTGAAGTAGCAGGGTGTGGCTCTGTCCCAAAAGCAGCTCTCTGGCACCACCAGTCACTGATGTTGACTGTGACCTTCACTTGCTCTGTCCTCAGCTCACCATGGCCAGACTCCTGCAGGCCCGCAGACTGGAGGGGACGGAGCACAACCCCTGGTGAGTGACAGGCCCTGGGGTGCCTTTCCTTCCAGGCTTGGGCCGGCAGGGACTCGGTGTCCAAGAGAGGGAAGACCCCAGGTAGCAGCTTGGTCTGCAGTCTGGGCTTTTATCCTGCTTGGTTGTGGCTCTGTGAGATTTAATGACACCTTGCCTCCTAAAAGTAATGGGGGTACAGGTAGGTCAGTGGTAGAGCTCTTGCCTAGCATGCATAAGGCCCTGGATTCAATCCTGGGTACCGAAAAAGAAAAAGTACGACTGGTTTTTCTTTCACACTTGGCTTATGTATAGCATCTTGTGTTTTGCAATGAACTTGCACCTCCTCCACCTCCTGGAATGCTGCACCTGCTGGGAAGGGGAGCTGGACCCAGAGGGTCACTCTCAGGGTTTGGGCTCAGCCCCACAACACCTCAGATCCAGCTGCTCTTCAGATCCCGCACTTCAGATCCAGCTGCACACACAGGCTGTGGTTTGAGGCTGTGAGGCACATGGATGGGATTTTAATGGGGCACCAGATCCATCAGAGGTGATTTAGGTGGCCCTTTCGGATATCCTCTCCAATCGCTTCTAAGCCTTTTGGCTAAGATCAAGTGTGGATATCCTGGTCTTGGTATGTAGTCCAGGCTGGCCTCCAACTCTTGGGAATACGCTTGCCTCAGCCTCCTGAGTGCTGGGATGAAAAGTGTGTCCCACCACACCCAGGACAACATCCTGTTCTTGAAAAATAAAGAGAGTTAGGGGTTTGGCAGGAGTTCAGCTCGGCTGTATAAACGTGACACTGGCTGACACCTCCAGGAACACCTAGGCACACAGCCATCTGAAAGCCCTCAGGACTCAGCCCTTCTTCGATTTCATGGAAGCTTCATTTCATGGATAAAGATGGATTCAGTTGTTGACCACTGGTGTAGGCCCTCCATCTTCAGCCCCTCCCCATTCCCACAGTCTAAGGGGTGGGCTTTCCAACCCTGAATCAGACAGTCAGTTCCTCTGGCCACCAGCCCCAAGCATCACCCAGCCAGGAGTTCCACCTCTGTCACCTCCTGAGCCACTCATCCTGCTGGGCATTCAGGGGTCTCCATGACTGTGTGCCAGAAAACAGGCTTGGAGACCAGACACGTTTCACAGTGGCCAGTGTTCGGAGGGAAGAAGTTGCAGGCTGAGCAAGGCCACAAGGCTCTCCTCACTGGCAGACCTAGAGGCCTGTCCTGAAGGGCACCTCTACAGGACCTTGAGCCTGGCTCCTCTGTCCCAAGTATCATGGAACATTCTGTGATCAATCGATTGATTGATTTTGTACTGGAGGAGCTAGCCAGGCTGGACCACTGAGCTACACCCCCTCGGCCTCATTAATATTTTGTTGTTGTTGTTGTTAAGTTGCCCAAGCTGGCCCCAAACTTGGCATCCTCCTGCCACAGCCTCCAGAATGTTGGAATTGCAGGCATGTCCCATGGCACACAGTTTGTTCAACAGGTGTTTTAAAAGAATGGAGTACAGCTGGGGATGTGGCTTGGTAGCAGAGCACTTCCTTGGCATTTGCCAGCCCCAGACTTCCGTCCAGGAAGGAAAGGAGGGAGGAAGGAAGACAGAAGGTAGGCTTGGGGTATGGCTTAGTGATAGGGTGCTCGCCTGGTATATGCCCTAGGTTTAATCCTCAGCACAGAAAAAATAAAAAGAATAGGACCCAGAAGAAAATGCTGCAGTAGATCACACCAAGGACAATGCTTTTGCTCTACAGGGTTTGGGATATAAACATGATTTCATGAGTCTTGACTGAAGACGTTCAAACACCCTCTGTGACCATGAGAGGGCGCCAGGTCTTGCCCACCTTGTCTCAGAGCTGGGGACCAGTTACCCTCAGCGAGCTGGGGGCAGATGCTGTTGTCCAGCTCTCCAGATTGGGCCTCTTGCATGCTCAATGACCTGGAGGGGATAGGCTGAAGCTCAGGTCGGGTGGAGAGGTCGGCTGCCCCTGACTCCATGTTTCTCCCCAGGGTGGAGTATGTCAACCTGGCCAATGAGTACAAAGATGCTGTCAACTTGGGCCAGGGCTTCCCGAACTTCCCACCCCCAGACTTTGCCTTAGAAGCCTTTCAGCAGGCCGTCAGCGGGGACCACATGCTCAACCAGTACACCTCGGCATTTGTGAGTCCTGGGATTTCCCTGGGGAAGAAGGGGCAGGCCTGTCAAGACATCAAGGGCACACAGGGGTCAGGGTTTTAGGGACAGAACCCGGGGAATTCAGTGCGGCCAATGTTCAGTTTGCTGAGCATCCCCTCTGGCCCAGGCTCTGAGGTGGGACAGGGAACAGAAAGGAGGGAAAAAAACCTGGGAATGGATGAGAGGGAGTAAGGGAGGGCTGCCTGAAGGAGGTGACACCTAACCAAGCCCTGACACACAAGCTGCTGATTGGATTAGACTCGAATTCCTAACTCTGTGTGTGCTTGTGTGTGTGTGTGTGTGTGTGTGTGTGTGGTATTGGAGGTGGGACCCAGGGTCCACACACTGAGCTACATCCCCAGCCCTTTTTATTTTGAATTTTGAGAAAAGGTCCCACTAAATTGCTCAGGACGGGCTCGACCTTGCAGGCTACTTGTCTCGGCCTCCTGGCACTGGCATGCCCAGTGGAAATCCAGACTTTCTATAAAAGACTCACAGGAGATATTTGCCACCCTTACACTGGAACAGTGGCTCTTCACCTGTGGTGTGTCCCCATACTGCTGGGAAGGATTTTTCCCGACATGCTGGTCAGTGTGATGTTGCATCGTGTGCCCTAAGTGGCCACAAGTGGACACAGTGTCCTGAATGATCTCACTGCACAGCACATCGCAGGCACCTTCCCTTCAGCACAGCCTCCTGATGAAGCCTGCAGACTTCCTGCGGCACTGGCTCCCTGTGTGGGTTTTCCTTACGGGTTCTACACCCATGGGATGCTTCTGGTATTCACTATGTGACCAGTGCCCCAGTGAATCCACTCTGGACATCTTTGGATACATGTGGGTTTCCTGAAGATAAATTACTTCAAGTAAGAGAATGTGGGGACTCCTTTGTCTGCCTGTCCTGCCAGCAGTGGGTATACTCAGTATTTTGTTCGGTTGGGGTTTGGTTTGGGGTTTTTTTGGTACCAGGGATGGAACGCAGAACCTTGCGCTGCCGAGGCAGGCACCAGAACCACTGAGCTAAATCCCCGGCCCTGTTTGGTTGGTTTTTGAGACAGAATCTCACTATGTAGTTCAGGCTGGCCTTGAACTTGCAATGGTACTCCTGCCTCAGCCTCCCGACCCCCTTTGGTTTAGCTGTTAGGAGATCTATTGCCCTCTGATGTTGTATGGCCACTGCTATTCGAGAGTCTATCTGGTCTTGAAGCACGGCAATACTCTGGGCAAGTTCGTTTAGGCTGGCTGTTACGCTTTAGCTGACATGGATTTATTTCATCTATATGATCAGTTCTAGGGGACAGACCAGCCCTCAGGTAGAGGGCCATAAAGGTTTGAACATAGGGCACCTCTGACTGTATTTTTTGTTCTTTACAGTAGACATATAATTGAAATATGGTTTTCAATTCAATTGAAATTTCAGGCTGCCAAGGGGCGGCCATGTCTCATTTCTCCTGGGTGGATGCATAGGTCATTTTCTAATACACAGGGATATACACTGATCTCAGAATGGTCTTAGTGTGGGACTCGTCCCACTGGTTAAGAAGACATCTGAGTGGGGACTCGGAAGGAATAGATGAGGTTGTTCCCCTGTGTAGACAGGAGGAGCAAAATTAGGACCTAGGTTTAGGCTCCCAGGGGTTTAACCTGGTCAGGCTGCTCTTCCCTCCAGGGTTTAACCTGGTGAATTTGAGTTTCCTTTTAAGCCACCTAGGGGTTTTATTACCTGGCTAGTCTGAATTCCTTTAAAGTCATCAGGAGTTTAGCCAATTAAGAAGGGAACTAGACCCATCCATCCTAGAGACAACTTAATTCACTAGATTAAGCCATAAAACATACACATCTGATGACAGAACCTCAAAGTGCTGACAAAAGGGACTGGAGTGCGAAAGGAGAAAGGGACTCCAGTGGAAAGAAAAAAAGGGCTATTTGCAGTTTTAAAACATCTCTGGCATCAAGACCTCCAAGTGAGCCACTGTCTCTGACCTCTTCCTCAGTCCCAGTCACTCAATTTCAAATCCTCCTGCTTGTTTCCTCACCCAGGCTCAAGGCAAAACCAACTTCATTGACGTTTGTTCTCCCCCACACAAACATGCTCTTGCTGTAGCTTTTTGCTGAGTTCCTTGGTTGAGCTAGATGGGAATATTTTCTCTAGCTCTCTGCCACTCCACAGCCCTAGATGAACTCTGAACAGATGGGCTGGATGGGAAAGGCAGGAGAGGAGGTGAAAGGGCTCTGAAGGCAGCTGGCAGTGCCCCATGCCTGCCACTAGGGGGTGCTAGAATAGGCTGGGCACAGTTTAGCAAGGGGTTGAGCCTGGGCACCTGATCCTCTGCCCCAACAGGGTCACCCACCGCTGACCAAGGTCCTGGCAAGTTTCTTTGGGAAGCTGCTGGGACAGGAGTTGGACCCACTCACAAATGTGCTGGTGACCGTGGGAGCCTACGGGGCCCTGTTCACAGCTTTCCAGGCGCTGGTGGATGAAGGAGATGAGGTGAATGGTGAGGCTCTTGGGTGGGCAAGGGGACAGGGCCGTGCTGACCCCGGCTGACTCTACCCTCCTTCCAGGTCATCATCATTGAACCTTTTTTTGACTGTTATGAGCCCATGACCCATATGGCTGGAGGTCACCCTGTGTTTGTGTCCCTGAGGCCGGTGAGATGTTGGGTCAGTGGGTGGCAGAGGGAACCAGAAGGAGCTGGGCTGGGCTGGGAGAAGAAGAAGGAGCCCGGTGTCTGTGAGCTGGGACAGACACTGGGGCAAGGTGCCCAGTGATAGGCAGGGACATTCGGCCAGCCCCTCCCACCACTTCCTGCAGAGCCCCAGCCAGGATCATCAGGACCTGGATTCTTGCAGCAACTGGCAGCTGGATGCCACGGAACTGGCCAGCAAGTTCACGCCTCGAACCAAAGCTCTGGTCCTCAATACACCCAACAACCCCCTTGGGAAGGTACCTGGGGATCGAGCTTCGCGGGGGTCCCAGTGACAAGCGCAGGAACCACACAGGGCTTCAGGACTGGGATGTGGGCATGGACAGCGGTCTCTCCTAGTGCTTCCTCATGTGTGAAGCAGGACCTGAGAGGACCGTGTCACCAGGTCATGGCGCTGAGATCTGTGGGAAGGTACAGGGAAGGCCCTAGTGCCCGCCAGTGCCACTGCTAACACTGAGCAGGCCCAGTCCCAGCTGATGGCCTGCGCCTCCCTGGTCCCACAGGTGTTCTGCAAGGCAGAACTGGAGCTGGTGGCCAGCCTGTGCCAGCAGCATGACGTGCTATGCATCAGTGACGAGGTCTACCAGTGGCTCATCTATGACACACACCAGCACGTCAGCATAGGTGAGCCGAGCTGGCCTGCATCTCCCTGGACACTGTGACCAGGCACTGAGCCCCAGCTGGAGACCTAGACCCGGGCTGGGAATCTATACTTGTGTGACCGTGGGCAGCAACTTCACCTCTCTGAGGACGGGGCCACAGCAGCATGTCCCTCCCCAGGCTGTCCTGAGGATGAGATCAATAAGTCCTGTCTGTAGCTTAGTGGGTGGCCATGTCCCCAGTGTGGAGAGTCCATGTCTGCACCTGGGCCCAGGCCACCCCTCCCTGCTCATCGCCCTTGCTCAGCGGTGGTTCTCTTTGGCCCTGGGCAGCCAGCCTCCCTGGCATGTGGGAACGGACCCTGACCATCGGCAGTGCTGGCAAGACCTTCAGCGTCACCGGCTGGAAGGTGAGTCCATGCAGTGTGGGGTGTGGGAGAACCCTCCCTTGTGGTCCTTGGCAGCGATGCCAGCCATGGGAGTGGAGAAAGGATTGACCAGGTCTCGAGGGCCTCACCCGCTCGCTGCCTGTGTCCCTGGTCCAGGTGGGCTGGGTCCTGGGTCCCGATAACATCATGAAGCACCTGCGGACTGTGCACCAGAACTCTGTCTACCACTGTCCTACTCAGGCCCAGGTGAGAAGGGCCAGGACTGGGCGGGGGCAGGAACAAGCAATGAGAGACCCCGTTTGGCACAGTGGCAGCGCATCCCTGACCTGTTTGTCCATCCTCCCTATGCAGGTCGCAGTAGCTCAGTGCTTTGAGCGGGAGCAGCTCCTCTTTGGCCAACCCAGCAGCTACTTTGTGCAGCTCCCTCAGGCCATGCAGCGCTGCAGGAACCACATGATTCACAGCCTGCAGTCTGTGGGCTTCAAGCCTGTGGCCTCACAGGGTGGCTACTTCCTCACTGTGGACATCTCCAACTTCAGTGAGTGACACTGACTGTACCCAGTGGCAGGGTGTAGGGGCTGGAGACTTGGTCATGCCTAGGACTCAGCATGGCCTCTGTCCCCAGAGAGCAAGATGCCTGACCTGCCTGGTGCTGCTCATGAGCCCTATGACAGATGCTTCGTCAAGTGGATGATCAAGAACAAGGTAGGCAGGGCCTCTGCCCATGCAGCCTGGTGGCCAAGGGTGCCCAGTGCAGAGGCACCACCTGGACTTGACTGTGAGCCCTGGTACAGGTTCCATCCACTCCAGTAAGTAGGGCCCCTGACTTTAATTTGCATGACAATGCAGTGCTGGGCTTCAGTCTTCCCATCTGCATAGTGAGGAGCTGGGCCATTACTCTGAAGTCTGTCCAGGTCACCCCTGTGATTCTCAGACTCATTTCCTCTCTGGCTCTGCCCTGGCCTGTGGCATGGTCTGCCCCCTCCTGGCAGCTTCTGCCACTGCACACATGCAGGGACCTAGCTTTCCCTGCTGCCCCTCATGGGAAGCTCCCCTGAGCTGTGACTGCTGGACCACAAGGCCATGTGAGACCTGTGCTTCCTCCCCTCCAGGGCCTGGTGGCCATTCCAGTCTCCTTCTTCTACAGCGGGCCACATCAGAAGGACTTTGACCACTACATCCGCTTCTGTTTTGTGAAGGTAAGGGTGGGGCTGGGGGCCCTTCCTGTGCTTCGGGAGGCCGCTGGGTGTGGGGTGGAAGGAAGGCCACATGTGTGTCACTGCAGGAGGAAGCCACATTGCGGGCCATGGATGAGAAGCTGCAGAAGTGGAAGGCCAAGCTCAAGTTGTAAGGTCGCTCCTTGCCACACTGGTGCCTCTTTGCCCAGGTTCCAGCCATTCCCACATCAGGGAGCTGGTATTGGGTGACCACTGCTCTGTGATCTGTACTGTTGCTAGGTACAAGCCTACCTTGGTCTGGGTGTCATCTGCCCCCTCCCCTGGTGCCAGGAACTCCTGTGTCGGGAGGAGAGGGGTCTGAGAGCTCTCTGCCCCACCCTGGGTCTGTTGTAGGCTCTTGAGTTTCTTCTGGCCTCCCCTGTCTTTGCTGGGGAGAATTGGCCCCATAGCAGCCCCTGAATCCCAGCCCTGTCCCCCACCGTTTTCTAGCTGCAGCTGGCATTCAGGCATTGCCTCTACCTTTCCGCATTTAACCTTGACCTCAGGAAGTTCAATTCAGTCTTGAGTCTTTTTTGTGTAATAAAATTTTAAATTATTCAAACTCTAGTTGCCACCATGTCTCTGCCTTAGACAGTGGGACTGATTGCTGAGTGGGGCTTGGTGAGAATGGAAGGAGCGGAAGTTCAGAGCCAACCTCTTCTTTTTGTACAGTAGTGTGTGTATGTGTGTGTGTGTGTGTGTGTGTGTGTGTGTGTGTGTGTGTGTGTGTGTTAAAGGCAAGGCCCAAAAAAGGCTGGGGACTTTGGGCTTGTCTGAAGTCAATGTTACCTTCATTTGTACTGTTCTTTGGTAAATGTAGATTAAATTGACAACCAAAATAATTTATGGGACATGCAGGGTGTGGTGCACATGCTTGTAATCCCAGTACTAGGAGCCTGAGGCAGGAGAATCGCTGTGACATCCGGGCCAGCCCCCTCGAATTGTGACCCTCTAAACCCATGGCCAAAGGAGTTTTTTATGAATAACAAAAAAGCCACTCGATCACTCAAGAAATTCCATGGGCTTTAGGAGTTCTGCGGCAGGAAAGTCCAAATATATTTTTAGTGCAACCGGAGGGTAACCATCCAAGTATGCAGGACAGTATTTGAGATGCAGTTCGTCGTCTACCTACCTTGCCGACCGCTAGCCCCGCCCCATCCTGCAGTCCCGGCTCCACTCTGGCTGGGCTCCACCTGCTGCACGCCTAGGCCACGCCCCGCGCACACTTGGGCCTCCGATTGGACAGCCCTGTGGGTGTGGCCGGAAGAGGCGAGTCTGAGTTGCAGCGGCGTGGCTGGCGATGTACCGCGAACATGGCGGAGCGCGGGAGGAAGCGGCCTTGCGGCCCGGTAGGTACCCGGTGGGACTCCGGGCAGGGCCAGGCTGGGGGCGTGAAAACGGACAGCCTAGGGGCCCGTGGTGGAGCGGGCCTGGGCGTCTCGATCGCCGCTCCGAGGCCCGGAAGCCCGAACGTGCCGCACGCAGGTGGCCCCGTGCGCCCCAGCGGGACCAGATCCCGGAGGTTGGGGCCTGAGTCCCCGCGGCCCTCTGGCCGGACCTGGATTCAAGAGTCGAGACCGTGCTCGCAACCCTGAGCCTGTGTCTCAGGTCTTCTCATTCTCAGGCGACTGTGTGCATATCCCACAGTCATATCCCTATCTGTGGGAAACGGGTGCCTCAGTTTCCTCTTCTGTCTCATGAACTCATCCTAGCAGGCCTGATCCAGTCATTGGGATACAGCAGGGCCTTGCCCCCTTGACGCAGCAGTATGTAGTGGTTTCCCGGCTTCCTCACGATCCCGGTTGGAGGAGCAGGATGGCTGTAAAGCAGCATTTGTGGTCCCTTCCAGATGTCACCATTCATTCTCTCACTCTTACTCCTCCTGCTCCTCCTCCAGGGTGAACACGGACAAAGGGTTGAGTGGCGAAAATGGAAACAACAGAGTAAGTAAGGGCCGCGGTGAGGGGGAGTCTGCCAGCCCTTCCTCCAGGCCTTGCCAGGTGACCCGGAGCCCAGCCTATAGGTCTCACAGCTCCCTTTGGGGAGGCCGAGGGGTGCTGGGCAGATCCAGTCCCTTACCCCTCACCAGTCAAGCTGTGTTATCTTACCCAGAGAAAGAGGAGAAAAAGAAGTGGAAGAACCTCAAAATGACCAAAAAACTGGAGCGGCAACGGGCACAGGAGGAGCAGGCCAAGCGCCAGAAGGAGGAGGAGGCAGCAGCTGCCCAGAGGGAGGACCTGGGTGAGCCCGGGTCCTGGGAAGGAGCACATGTGGCCTGCAGTAGCTGTGCTGTGGCAGAACAGACTGTCATGTCTGGAAGAGTCCCTAGTGACCACTGGTTCAAACCTCTTGTCCCAGTAGAGAAACTTAAGTCCCAAAAAAGGGAGGGAGGGCCCTGGCCCACTGAGTCCTGACCTCTTTCTTAGGTAGATTTCGAGCCTATCTATGGATGTTAAACATCCTGACTCTTAACCTTATACCTCTAGGGCCTTGTCTTGGCATTGATTCCAGGATTCCTCATACATGGACACCAAAATCTGCAGATGTTTATGTTCCTTTCAAAAAACAGGATAGGGCCAGAGATTTAGCTCAGCGGTTTCACTGCCAGCTGCGCAAGCGCAAAGACCTGAGTTCGATCCTCAGTACCAAAAAAAAAGAATATGTTCCATCAAAAAACAGGATAGTATTTACACTATACAGTCCTCTTGTGCCCTTTTTTTTGGTTTTTTGAGATAGGGTCTCATTATATACTTTAGGCTGGCCTTGAACTCACAGTGACCCTCCTGCCTCAGCTTCCTGAGTGTTATTCCCATTTGACAGCTGGAGAACTGAGGGAGTGTAGGGCAGAGCCTGGGCCAACGCTCCTGACCTCTCCCTGGCCTTGCTCAGTGGTCTGCCCTGGTTAGAGAAACCTAGGCTCCTGACCTCTCCCTGGCCTTGCTCAGTGGTCTGCCCTGGTTAGAGAAACCTAGGCTCCTGACCTCTCCCTGGCCTTGCTTAGTGGTCTGCCCTGGTTAGAAAAACCTAGGAGATCACCATATCCATTTTCCTCCTAGAGGGACTGAAGTCCAGAAAAGGGAGTTGGATCTATTTTGCTGATCTCAAAATTCCTGCAGTTGAAGGTTCGGGGATTTAGCTCAGTGGTTCTGCCACCTGCCTTGCAAGTGCAAGGTCCCGAGTTCGATCCTGGTACCAAAAAAAAAAAATTTCTCCAGTTGAGCTGGGTGTGGTGGCGCACACCTGTGGTCCTAGTACTCTGGGAGGCTAAGGCAGGAGGATCAGAAGTTTGAGTCTAGCCTAAGCAACCTAATGAGACTCTGTCAAAATAAGAAATAAAAAGGGTTGGGTGTGTAGCTGAGTAGGAAAGCCCTGGGTTTGATCCCTGGTGCCACACACACATACAGAAATCCTCCCAGCTGAACAGTTCTCCCACCCTAGGCCCCAGGGACAGAAGAAGGGAGTGTGTGGGTGGGGGGATTTGGCTTCTAGGCTGACCAGGAGCACCCTCCCACTGCCCAGGACGGCCCTACACCCTGAGCGTGGCCCTGCCGGGCTCCATCCTGGACAATGCCCAGTCGCCTGAGCTCCGCACCTACCTGGCTGGACAGATCGCCAGAGCCTGTGCCATCTTCTGTGTGGATGAGATTGTGGTGTTCGATGAAGAAGGCCAGGAAGCCAAGTGAGAGGCTGCTGGGGTGTGGGGCCTGGGGCCTGGGGAGGAGGGAAAACAGTGCCCTGCCTACCTGCCTGGCTTCTCCTGGGTACCTGCCTGAAATCTCCCATTGTGTTCCTCAGTGAGTATAGGGTCTGGGCAGTGGCCGCAGGGGTCAGATTGGGTGGGAGGAGCTCCTCCAGGGTGGGTGTGGGGACTGAACCCAGGGCTCTGCATGCTTAGCCACTGAGCTCCACCACACCCAGCAGTTCAATCTTGTGCCCTGTTTCTGTCCAGGTCTGTGGAGGGCGAATTCAGGGGAGTCGGCAAGAAAGGACAGGCATGTGTGCAGCTGGCCCGTGTCCTGCAGTATCTGGAGTGTCCACAGTAAGGCACTGACCCCAGGAGTGTGGGGACAGGGTGGTCAGCATGGAGGTCAGCTGGGGGGTGGCTCCTCAGGGAGTCTGCTGAGGCCCACGTCCTCTACCAGGTACCTGCGAAAGGCCTTCTTCCCCAAGCACCAGGACCTCCAGTTTGCAGGTACTGAGCGCCCAGCCCTCTGGCCCACCACCCCTGTCCTAGGAGGAGGGCAAGGCCTGTGGTCACCTCACCCTCGCGGGCTCCGCTCCCCCAGGCCTCCTGAACCCCCTGGACAGCCCGCACCACATGCGTCAGGAGGAGGAGTGCGAGTTCCGAGAGGGTGTTGTGGTGGACCGGCCTACTCGGCCAGGCCATGGCTCCTTCGTCAACTGTGGCATGAAGAAGGTGGGCTGTGACGCCTTGAGGATGCCCTAGCTGAGGGGGGCAAGCAGGGGTGTGGGGGGGGGGGCTGGAATCGGACCTGCCTGTGGTGCCCCCGTTGATGTAGACCTGGGTCAGCAAAGATCCCAGAAGGGCCCAGAGATGAGGCCAGCAGCAAATCCACTGTTGCTTATTTCCTTATTTTTGGTGCTGGCGGTGAAACCAAGGGCTCTTGCATGCCAACAACATCCTCTGCCACTGAACTACACCACCACCTTCACAGGTTTTTTTTTTGATGGGGGGTACTGGAGATCGAACTCGGGACCTTGCACTTGCAAGGCAGGCGCCATAACCACTGAGCTAAATCTCCAGCCCATACCTTCACAGTTTTAAAAAGCAAATCATGAGCCAGGTAGGTGACCCACACCAGTAATCTCAGCACTCTGGGAGGCTGAGGCAGGAGGATTACAAATTCATCAGACTGGAATATATAGCAATTTAGTAAGATGCTATCCTAAAATAAAAAAGGCTGCTGATGCAGAGCATGGTGGTGCACGCCTATGATCCCAGCACTCCAGAGGCTGAGGCAGGAGAATCGCCACAAGTTCAAGACCAGCCTGGACTACATAGTCAGTTCAAGGCCAGGCTGAACTATATAGCAAGACCCTCTCTCAAAAATTAAAAAAAAAACTAGGGATGTAGCTCAGGGTGAAGGCCCTAGGTTCCCTCACCAGAAAGAAAAAAAAACAAAACCCACTGACATTAGCTGGTCCCTTTGGTCAAAACAATAAACCAAAACCCTGCAAAAAGAAGTTCAAAATCATTCAGGTTCTGGTGGGCATTGTGGTACATGCCAGTAACCTTGAGAGGCTGAAGCAGGAGGATCACCATTTAACACAGCTCAGTGCAAAGGCACTGGGTTCAGTCCCCAGTGCTAAAAAGAAATCATCCAGGCTCTGCCATAGCACATTGTGGAGGCAGGCTAGGATGGTTCCCTCTCAGGTCTCCCAACTACCACGGCAGAAGCTTCTAGGTGTGTGGATCTCCCCTCTCCAGAAGAACAGACTGGAAGTCACTGGCTACAGGTGGACCAGACTGATGCACGGGGAAGGGAGACACTGAGTGTTATCAGTTCAGAACTGGCCCTGAACACAAATAATTGTGATTCATCATAGCTCGATGTTAGCCGTTTACCTCCTTTCCGGCCCTGTGCCGTATGAGAGTAGCTATTTTATGGAGAGTTTTGGTTCAGAGGGGTTTAGTGACCTGTGGTTTCTAACCAGCGTCCTGTGATAGTTTTTGTTTTGTTGGTTGAGACAGGTTCTCACTATGTAGTTCTATGTAGCCTAGGCTGGCTTCAAACTCGGGAATTCCTCCTGCCTCAGCCTCCCTAGTGCTGGGATTACAGGTGTGTGCCATTATGCCCAGCTGTCATAACTGCTTGCTGCAGATGGTCTCCTGTGAGGGGACCAGCCCAGGGGCCTTGTGGAGGGCCCAGGCCCGCAGCCCTCACCCTCCACAGGGTCACAGAGCAGTGGCCCCTGCTGGCCATATAGGAACAGCACCCGTCTCTTCTGGCCTCTCCCCAGGAGGTGAAGATAGATAAGAACCTGGAGCCTGGACTTCGGGTGACCGTGAGACTGAAGCAGCAGCAGCTCCCAGGTATCCGGTGGCGTTCCTAGCCCCTGCTGTGGCCTGGCCAGCTTCGGGACAGCCCCTCCATGCCTAGTCCCTCGCTGCGTCTCACAGCCTGTGTCCCCCAGAGTCCAAGACCTACCGGGGCACGGTTGTATCGTCGAAGGAGCCTCGAACCAGAGCCGGGCTTTACTGGGGCTACACTGTCCGGCTGGCCTCCTGCCTCAGTAAGAACTCGCCTCCTCCTCCAGGAGCACCTGGAAGTCAGGCTGGGCCCTCGTCCTGGGAGGCCTGTGTGTCCTGGGTGGGCGGTGACTTCACTGAGGTGCACTCCTTCCTGCCGCCCGCCCTCTGCATGTTCCCTGACCACGCCCGGGCTTGGCCTCTGCTCTCCCAGCCTCATCCTCCCAGGGGCATTTGGGGCCCCTAGTGGCCCCCTTATGAGAGCAGGGAGCCACCGTTGTCCCTTCCCAGGTGCTGTGTTTGCTGAGGCCCCCTTCCAGGACGGGTACGACCTGACCATTGGGACGTCAGAACGTGGCTCGGATGTGGCCTCCGCCCAGCTGCCCGGCTTTCGGTGGGTGCTGCCTGGGCAGCGGGCAGAGTCACTCAGAACAGCCCAGATGTGCATGAGGACGAGAGGTGTGGGGCTGTGCTCGCGGGGGCGCTGGTGATCGGTCAGTGACCTTTCTGGGTGTCAGGCATGCGCTGGTGGTGTTCGGGGGCCTCCAAGGGCTGGAAGCCGGTGTGGATGCGGACCCCAACCTGGAGGTGTCCGAGCCCAGCGTCCTCTTCGACCTGTACATCAACACGTGCCCAGGCCAGGGCAGCCGCACCATCCGCACAGAGGTGAGCCCACCCATGTCCCCCCCAGCCAGTGCCCGGGGCCTCGGCTGCCTTCTCTGGGGGACAGGGTGCTGCACTCGGGGTCCTGGCAACCTGCCCACCCCTCCCAGGGCCTCTGCTCCCTCAGCTGTGTGACCAGTGCTCCTTGGTGGCCTGGTTCTGCAGGACCTCGAACATGGATGTGGCTGCTCTTGGGGTCCCCCACGTGCAAGCCCCCAGGGGACAGAGTGTCCCTGTGGGCACTGTGCAGGGAAGACTCTGCTCCCAGTAGTCTCAGAGTGGCAGTGACTATGTCCCCGAGACCCTGCCCAAGCGCCATGAGCCCTCAGGCCACACCCCCTCAGCAGGACCCAGGGCTCCCCTGCCCTGAGGCCCAGAGGTTGCTGCCACCTTCATCCGACCCAGCCCTGTCGCCCCCTTAAGGGAACAGTAAGGAGCAGGACGGTGCCGGGCCTGCCCTCTACCTCCCCAGGGGCCCCTGGCTGGCCAGGCTGTGCAGCTGGGCAGGAGCTGGGTGCCTGCTGGCCCCAGCCATTGTCTGTTGTCTCCCAGGAAGCCATCCTCATCTCCCTGGCTGCCCTGCAGCCCAGCCTCACCCAGGCAGGCACCCAGCCCACCTGAAGGTTCTGTCAGGACCAGGACACAGGCAGAGCAGGAGTGGAGCCAGGCGGGTTCCTGCGGGTCACCTGGGACAGACAGTCAAGACTTGGCTCCAAAAATGACCACCTTTAATCCGCCACGGCCCCCACCCCGCCCACAGTCCTGGCCTGCGCCTCACTTGCTGCTGGCAGTGATGGCCTTGACGTTGCCCGCCCGTGCCAGGATGTTGGGCACAAAGAGCAGCCCTGAGGCCCGCTCAATGCTCTCGATGGGCACCAGGAAGCGCTCCAGCGGGATCGCCTCGTCCACAGGCGCATTGGGCATCACATAGGAGCGGAGCTCAATCTGCCCCCCCGCTGCCTCCAGGATCAGCACCTTGAAGAAGTGTGTGGGCACCGCCACGTGGTTCTTGCCGATGACCTGGTACTTCACGTAGAACTTCCCATCGGCCTCTGTCCTGCGGGCAGACCCAGCACTCAGGGCTCGGGGCCTGGCTGGACTCAAGGCCTCCAGCTCTCTAGGAAGCCTCCCCTGACCTGCACTCCAGTTCTGCCCTCCTGGTCAGCCACCCCCTCACTTGGAGTCTGTGTGCCCTGCTGGCCTCCTTCCTGAGGCTGGGAAGTGTCCAGGGTGGAGACTGACTCTCCCTCTGGTTTCAGCACCTGCAGAGAGGTGGCAATAAATGCTGCTGAAAATATCGGGCCTCGTAAACCTTCAGCTCACCTCTGCAACACTTGATTGCTGTTGGTCTCGCCACACAGTGGTGCACCAAGTAGGCAGGACCACAGCGGCTGAAATCCTGTGCCCAGTACTGAGTTTGGCACAGTCTCTTCTGGCCCGTTTCAGCCAGCACTTGCTAGTGGAAGTTTATCAGCGCCCAAGCCACCACCCTGGCCAGCCCATGCTGAGCCCTTACCACAGGCCAGGCCCTGGGCTGAGTATGACGTTCCCCATCCATGAGGTGACAGGCTTTAGCCCCCTTTTACTGAGGAGGACACTTTGATCCTCTGAACACAGCAACAAGGAGCCAGGCAGTAAGGCCAGGCTTCCATCCCAAGCCTAGACTCCATTCCTCACTCAACCCAGTCCTCACGGACCAGAGAAATCAGTGACCCTGCACAGGTTGCAGTCCCCAGCAGCTGGGACGGGCAGGGGCACAGAGCGGGGTGGATCGGAGGGCAGAGGAGAGTGCTGAGCAGAGCAGACAGAAGGTGAGAACCTGGGACGTCAGGGCCTAGGTAATTCCCCCCATGCAGAACACGGCTGGGCGGGGTGATAGGTCAGAGAAGAGCAAGGACATTTGGAGCCAGGAACACTGGCAGAGAAAAGATGGCCTAGGAGGTCACCCAAAGGGCTCTGGTTACAGAAGTAGAATGGGGCTGGGTGTCCCAGCACTTGGGAGGCTGAGGCAGGAAGATCACTGCAAGTTTGAGGCCAGCCTGGGCTACATCATGGGTTCAAGATCACGCTGAACTATGTAGCCAGACCCTGTCTCAAAAATAAGATGCAATGGGGGCCCAAGCCAGGGACACAGACTCACCAAGAAAGCAAGTGAGTGGTAGCCGGGTGCCAAACACCGGGCCTGGCCTGGCTGTGGCCTCACCTAGGCAGGAAGAGCGGCCCAGTGCAGACATAGACGTTCTGGTAGGTACGCGACAGGCTGCGGCTGTACTTCTCCAGGTTGTTCCAGGCGTTCTGGTTGAGGTGGGGTACCTGGCAGCAGAAGGGGGCGCTCAGCAAGACATGCCGGGTCCCTCCCCCTGACAGGAACTGTCAAGGAAGGCCGGAACCCTCCCCGAGGCTGGGTGCCCACAGCGGTTGCGCCAGGGCAGGGATGATGGGTGTGCTGGGCTTGCTGGGGACACCTGGGCTTTCCTGCTTAGGAAAATGGGCAGAGCCCTGGGTCCTGGGGAAAGAAGTCAGGTCGGAACCCAGTCAGTCCACATACACTGGGTGCCTCGCGCTGGAGGAGCAAGGGTGGAGGTGGGGTGGCTCGGCCTGGGTGGTGTGACTCGCACTAACAGCCCGACTGTACCCCTTGTTTTCCTGTTGATAGCTCAGCTCCTCCAGCCAGACTGCCCAGGGCTGGGGATGTTGCTCAGTGTTACACAGCAGGCTTGAGGCCCTGGGTTCAATCCCCAGTACTACCAAAAACAATAACTAACCGGGCATGGTAGAGCACACCTGAGGCCAGGCTCAACTACAGAGCAAGACTCTCTCAGAAACAAAAACAACTTCCTGGGTTCTCCTGCTGTGTGACATTTGGCCAGTCACCTTACCTCTCTGAGCCTTAGTTCCCTCCTTACAGCTGACAGCCCACTGGCTAGGCCTGCCCTTGCGCACTGTCAGTACCTCATCCCTATGCAGGCGGAAGGTCCAAGGCCAGATCGGGGTGCAGGGCCCCAGGGCTCTTCCCACCCCCAGCCCTCCGGTCTCACAGCCCGACCCGAGGCCGCGCGCCGGGCGGGGGCGCTGCGCACCTGGGGCGCGACGTTGCTCAGGTAGAAGGTGTCGTCCATGGCCTTCTGGCTCCAGCGGTGGTTGGCGGCGGCGGCGAGGTGGCCGCGGTCGAAGCCGCTGCCGCGGAAGTCTGCGTTGGTGGCGCGGTGGTACGCGTGCACCGAGTCGTCCTCGCGGAAGTCGCACTCGCGGCGGTCGCCATCGCCGCGGAGACGCTCGGGGCGCAGCTGCTCGACCACCCAGAGCGCGCCGCGGGTGCGCGGGTCGTAGCACAGCACGTACGACTCGCGGCTCTTGAGCTGCGCCACCCCGGGCAGCCCGTACTTGGCCAGCTCACCTGGGCCCAGGCCGGCCGGTCCCCCGGGCACCGCGGGCACCTCGGCCGCCGCGGCCACGGGCAACATCGGCAGCCGGCCCAGCAGCCCGGGCGTCGCCTGCGTCTCCACCCCGCAGCGCCGCCAGCGTTCAGCCGCAGCGCCCAGGCCCGCGCCCAGAGCCAGGGTCAGGGCTGCTCGCAGAGCGCGCATGGCGCAGCCAGGGCTGGGGACCTCAAAGGAGTCGCGCCGGGCCCGCCGTCCTTCCAGTCTCCTCGCAAACGCCCTAGAAAACCAGCGCCCCGAGAGGGGGACGGACCCCCACGTGGCTGTCCCGTGCCCTTTCTTTGCCCTTTTGAGACCCCGGCGCGAGGGGGCGTGGCACCACCACCTCGGCTCTGGATTGGCCTCAGTCGGGTCTCTGGCTCCGCCCCGGCGCATTCGGCTCCGCCGTAGGGAGGGCTTCCCCTCTGCGCATGTGCGAGGAGCTCCTATTTTTAGTGTTTTTACACTACTTCATTTAATCCTCAAAAGAGACGTGAGGGAGCTCCTAGTTGGCAGATCAAGTACAGGATCCCAAGTCTGTCAGACTCCAATCTGCCCTAACTCTGTTAACCTGGCAATGATTTACTATTGCTCGGGGGGGGGGGGTGTATACTGGGGATTGAACCCAGGGCCTTTGCACTGAGCTGCATCCCTAGCCCTCTTCAACTTTTTTTTTTTCTTGGTACCGGGGATCGAACTCGGATCCTTGAACTTGGGTACCAGGCTGCGAAACCACTAAGATAAATCCCCCGCCCTCAAATTTTTATTTTAAAACAGGATCTCAATAAGTCACCAAATTCCCGGGGCTGGGCTCAAACTTGTGATCCTCCCATCTCAGCCTCTCGAAATGTTAGGCCGCAGGCGCGGCCACCATGCCTGGCTCCAAAGATTCTCTTGAAACCCAGCCTGATGAAAGGCGTGCAGGCAGCCCAAGCTAACTGCCGGCTGGAGCAGCCCTTGATGCAGACTCCAGAAAGCAGCGGGACAGCATTGTGAGGTTTAAAACAGCTCATTCCGTTAAGCCGAGTTACAGGACTGAGCCCAGGAAACCATACGGAAATAAGGATTTTTTTTCATTTTCTTTTTCTTTTTTTCTTTTGAGACAGGGTCTTGCTATGCAGTTCAGGCTGGCCTTGAACTCACTAAGAAGCCCAGGCTGGCCTAGAACTTGTGGCGATCCTCTTGCCTCAACATCATAGTATTATTTATGAGGCTGGAGTCATACAGCAACTTGCTGACCACCTAAGGTGGGGAAAGAACAATACCATACACAAAAACTATAAATCAAAATGCTGGGTATGGTGGTGCAGGCCTGCAGTTGCAGAATGGGAGAGGCTGAGGCAGGAGAATTGCTGCAACTTCCAGGCCACCCTGGGTCACATAGTGAATTCAAGGGCAGCCTGGGATACATAGAGAGACCCCGTTCTAAAAACCAAAAAATAAACTATAAATCAGGAAGGTAACCATCATGCAGTAAAAATTATATTTGCAAAAAATGACATGTTAGGACCTGGGATTTAGCTTAGTGGCGCTGCACCTGCCTCACCAGTGCAAGGTCCTGAGATTGATCCCTGGTACAAAAAAAAAAAAAAATGCCACGTTACTTGTGATTCTAGGTTAGAGAGTATGGGGGCAGGTTTTATAACATTTTTTTAATTTTGAAAGTTTTTTATTGTAAGGTGATCAAATACATTTACTGGGTATAATGTGATTTTTTTTTTTTTTTGGTACCAGGGATCGAACTTGGGTCCTTGTGCAAGGCAAGTGATGGAACCACTGAGCTAAATCCCCGGCCCATATAATGTGATTTTTTTACACATGTATACAATGTGGAATGATTTTAACAAATTAACATATCAGTCACCGCAAATACTTTTTTGTGACGAGAGCATTTAAAAGTACTCTCTTAGCGATTTAAAAAAATACATTATTACTGATCCCCGGAACCAAAAAAAAATTATTACTAACTATAGTCATCATTATACAATAATTACCCCCAAAAGTGCCAGGCATGGTGGCACACCCCTGTAATCCCAGCTTCTTGAAAGGCAGACCTAGGAGATTACAATTGGAAAGCCAGCGTGGGCTATTTATTTACCCAGCTTTTTTTTTTTTTTGAACTGGGGATTGAACTCAGGACCTTGTGCTTTCAAGGCTGGCGAGGCACCACTGAAATAAATCCCAGCATTTTGTTTTTGTTTTTGTGGGGTTTTTTTGGGGGGGGTACCAGGGATAGAACTTGGGTCCTTGTGCTTGCACAGCAGGTAGCAAAACCACTGAGCTAAATCCCCGGTCCTTTGTGGGGTTTTTTTGAGACAGGGTCTTGCTATGTAGTCCAGGCAGGCCTTGAACTCACTATGTGGCCTATACTGGCCTCTAACTCACAGGAACTTGCAGCAATCCTCCTGCCTCAGCCTCCTGAGTACTAGAATTACAGGCATATAATACACCACCATGCCCATCTACTAGAAGTGAACTTGAAAGGGGCTGGGGATTTAGCTCAGTGGTTCTGCCGCCTGCCTTGCAAGCACAAGGTCCCAAGTTCCTTCCCCAAGACCAAAAAACAAAAAAACAACAATTACAGAAGTGAACTTGAAGAGACCCAGGCGTCAAGATGGAGAGGTGATGGACAGGCCTGGAAACCTCCCTGTAATTAAACAGTGGCTTGAGATTATCCTGTAACTAGCACTGCATGGTCCAGCGAGCCACATAGGTGGGTGACCAGAACACCCTGACCATGCTCTTACCCCTTTCCAGGAGCACCCTTGTTCTTTCTACGTTAGTTAGAAGTTCTAGATAAGGGGCCGGGGATTTAGCTCAGTGGTTCTACCACCTGCCTCACAAGCAGAAGGACCTGAGTTTGATCCCTGGTACCAAAAAAAAGAAGTTCTAGATAAGCCAAGGTTAACGATGCCCACCATACACCCTTGCTCTGTGCCTCACTTCCCTACTGGATCACTATCAGCTAAGCAGCTATACTTGTAACCCTATAGGTTAGTTGGAGTTTGACACCTAGCCACCCACACTGTGATTTTGCTGTATAAAATGTCTTTGACAAAGAGCCTCAGTGGCCACCCACTTCCGGGACCCCTCCTGTCTCTCAGGAGGTTTCTCTCAATGGACCTTTCTTACTCTTAACCCCCTTTGCCCTCAAATCCACTCTTGGACATCAGACGACACAATCTCAGCACATCTGACATCTAATGGGTTGGGAGACAGACTGGAGGTCCCATCGAGATCCTTGGACAGAGGTAAGAGTTTGCTTTTGTCTCATGCCTGCCCTAGAGTATTTTCACGGGATTGTGACTGGCTTAGGTAATAGAGAATTGTCATCCCTTGTTCATAGCTTTTTGTCAAAATGATAATTGATTTAAGTGGAGAGCATGGAGAGATTGTAATTCTTTTTATATTTGGGTTTCTTTGATGCAATGCTTTTATTTTGCAAACAGGGCCCTGTATTCCTTCCTGGACTTGCTTGGCTTCTTCCTTGAAGGCTTGGTTTCTTATTATACACAGCTCCCTGGGATGGTTTCTGACTTTCTAATTGGCTGCTGTCTGGTGCTCTTGGGCATGTCCTAGGCCCCGGAAGCCATGGAACAGGTTTTGACAGTTCACCTTCTACAGGGATGGTTGATTCTATGATTAGGAAATGGTAACCTGCTTCTCCTTGCAATCCTGAAAATCTTTTTCCTTTCCAGTTGTAGGCTCTTGAATCCCTAGAAAATGAGTGCTTGTGCACAAAGGCACCAAAGATTGGCAGCACTTGCTCCCCTTCTGGAAATGGGAAGAGAAATCAGGACGTGCAGCGGCCTCACGAGGTACCACACACTTCGTTCCCGGGGACTCAGAAGCCATGTTCATCCAGGAAGACACAACTAAGGATGTTAAGGATGTGGCCCATCCAGTGTCTTGGGTGAGGCTCCCTGATGCAACCCCCAGAGAAAATCATCTTCAGACACTGTGGCAAGAACTGAACTCTGGGTCACAGAGAAATCTATCTCCAAAACACCCATGTTATGATCCCAAACACTAGAGCCTGAAGGAGTCCCTCCAGTCTGCCCTTCTGCTGTAATTCTAGCACTCAGGAGGCTGAGGTAGGAGGATTGACAAGTTTGAGGCCAGTCTGGGCTATATACTGAGTTCAAGGTCAGCCTGAACTGCATAGTGAGACCCTGTCTCAAAAAAGTTTTTTTTAATTGAAAAAAATAAACAATCTGCTCTTCTGATCTCACCATTTCTCTCTGTGTCTCTTTCTCTGTCTCCTCTCTCAGTTAGAAAATCGTTGGTCTGGCCCCTTGATCACTGGCTTAATTTTCTGCTGGGGAATGCTTCCTTTTTTAAACGGAGCTGTTTAGTCACCCAAATACAGCTGTTGCTTTTAGAGACCTGCTTTGGAGATTGTTACACCCAGTGAGAGAGAACCAACCAGAGACAGATATTAAACCCACACAGGAGTTTATTACCGGCCGGGACCCAAGCGGAGCATCAGACTTGAGTTGAGCCTCGACTGGGGGGAGATTAACATTTTATACACCTTTGAGGCCAGCAGTTTCTAGGGCCCCCTATGGCATAGAACTAGTAAAGCAAGCAAAAGGTACAGAAGCGGAACTTCCTGCTGTTAGAACATTTGTAAAACAATAGTTGATTAATTGTTGTTTCTAAGAGACTCTAAGGGGAGGAGGTTTCTAAGCTTCCTCCTTTTGAGTTCATCTAAAGGGCAGGCAGGTGGTTTGTTCAGCAGCAATATGGAGTTTGTCTTGCTAACTAGGGTCCTTCCGAGATGGAAATGTGAGTGTGAAGCACAGGAACGGGAATTCAGAGGAAGCAGGCGGAGGCGCACGGTGAGGGTGGATAATCCGGTCCAGCGGATCTTTCCATCACTCTCCAGTTAGCAGCCACCTGCTCTGGAGCAGGGGACCCCCAAGGGGCACCCCAGGGCATCAAAGATAAGAGGGATTAAAAAGGGACTCCTGGCCCCTAGTTGTTTTTCAGATGGGAGACTTGATGTCAAATCTCTTTACTCCTTTGGGGTGTATTCTTAAACCCTGGGACTTGTTTGATCTCCCAAGCCCTAAAAACGTGCTGTTTAAAAAAAAAAAAAAAAAAAAGTACTGGGGGCCGGGAATTTAGCTCAGTGGTTCCGGCGTCTGCCTTGCAACCGCAAGGTCCCAAGTCCAATCCCTGGCACCAAAAAAAAAAGACAATCCTGGGCTGTATTCACTTCTGATTTTTTTTTTTTTCTAACTTAAAATTCCATGTTCATTACAAAGGTCAATGCCAATTCTTATGAATTCTTATGATGAGTTTATCGGTTGGATTTCTGGT